GGTACACTGAAGTTTAGAGGAGGAAGTATGATGGTATGGGGTTGTATGGGGTGGAGTGGTGTGGGGATTCTTTATGAGGTGGAAGGAAGGATGAATGCAGAGCAGTACATCTCCATTCTAGAGGAGTGTCTACTCAAAAGCATGTAGGAGTCAGGAATTGATGAAGAAGACATTATCTTTCAATAAGATAATGACCCCAAGCATACCTCAAAACTAACTACAAAATGGTTTGAAGACCATAATATCAATGTTCTATCATGGCCAGCACAGTCTCCAGACCTCAATCCCATTGAAAATCTCTTGGAATTACTTAAAAGACTACTTGCTGCCTATCAAGATCCTCCAAAGGGGCTATTTGAACTATGGGAAAGAGTTGTAGCAGAGTGGAAAAAGATTGCTAAAGAGGAGTGTCAGAAATTGATAGAAAGTATGCCTAGGAGGGTTGCAGCAGTTATTAAAGCCAAGGGGGGTAACACCAAGTACTAGAATTATAGAATAGTCTTGGTTAAATATAAAGTTAAAAAAGTGTTTGAATGAGTCATGTATTTAGAATTACCATAGCTTGCCTATATATGGTCAGGTTCCCACACTATATATCTTAGATTCAAGCCATTATATAGAGCTTTCAGACATATCCCTATACCCTTTGGTTATTGTTTGGTTCTGCCTTGCTATTATTTAATTACTTGAAAATGCATAAACATTTGGACACTTTTTTGAGCCACTGTAAGAACCAAAGAGGTATCTTAGAATCAAGTCAGAGATGTCAAAGAAAAATCAGCATAGGTTAAGCTGAAGAATCAGTGTTACCTAGCTATGGTTTATATAGTGCTAGGTTACAGGGTATGACATGATCAGTAAGCAACATGTGTATACAATGAGGTGTCTGAGTCATACTGAACTAGATATAGGCTGATAAGAGACATGCCTAGTAAGCATGGATCAAGGGTAAAGAAGAAAAGAAGTCCATGTAACACAGCCATAACAGGTAAAGTGCACAATATGTCACAAGATAAGGGAACATGGTTATGACTAGTGTCTGCAGTGCAGAACAAGTATGTGGATGTGGGTCACAGAAACAGGAATTCCAAGCCTACATTAAGGGCAATCCTTGATAGAAAGTCAGGTCTCAGTCAGACCATAGACATAAGACAGTGTTATCCAACAAAGTGGGTAAGGAATATAGGAGCACTACTACTGTGTATATAGGGTAAGTTAAGGTTCAGGAACTGTATAGTACCAAGCCACAATGTGCTGACTAAGTGAGTGAACCATTCCAATTCCAACAATCCTCACACCACTACTTCAGATCATACTGAGAATCAATGGATTGTGTTTTGCAAGCAGTGCTTCAAGAGACCTTTAAGTCAAACATTAAGAATTTGGATCTAATTTATTTAAGAAGTGCCATTCTTAATGATTTCTGGCTTATTCATTCTTGGTCCATTGTGAGTGTGTGCTCAGCCATGATTAAGTCCTGATTAAGGTGCTGTTTGGACAGCGAACCTTGGTTCAAAAATCTTGGTTCAAAACAGCACATGATATATTTTATGATAAGATATCATCAATAAGACAGTCTGACACGTAGAATAGTACTATCTATATAACTTATGAATCTCATATTAATGATCACAACTCTGCACCCACATGGACCTTGAAGCACAAATACAGAACAACCTGCATTGATGACGCCAATTTACTATGATCATCATAACAATTGCTGTCGTTCAAATTTCTTGTCTCTACAACCTTCTATTCTCATCCTGCACAGAGAAGATCCCATATCATACATCTATCCTCACTGGAAAAGCATGGGTATATGAACTCATCAGTAGTCACCCAGACTGAATCAGACACAACTTTGGTGTCGACATTCAGATTTTTGAAGAACTGTTAGAAGTTCTTTGGCAACATGGATTTGTCCAGTCCTGCAACAGCATCACTATTGAAGAGCAGCTTGGCATTTTATATATGTGTGTGTTACAGGACTCTCGTCTCGCCATGTTGGAGAGAGGTTCCAGCTGTTCCCCTGACACAATCATAAGGTAAGTACATCAGTCATTCAAGATGAATAGTAGGCTAATGATTTTCACAGATATTTCAAGCACATGCTCATTTTCTTTTCATCCCCTTCCTTCTACACTTCAAATGTCCAATTTCCAAACAACAACACTCCCATTTCTGCTAGCAATTTGTGATGACCCACATTTCAGATTCTTTGATCAATGTATTGGTGCCGTCAATGGTACTCACATTCAGGTCTTTGCACCACTCGAACACCATACCATCCTGCACAACCAAAAGGGATTTTTATCCCAAAACTGTCTGTTTATCTGCAACTTAGACTTTTATTTCACATACTTGCTCACAGGCTGGGATGGCTCAGCCGCTGATGCTGCCCTTTGGAATGATGCACAGTCTCATGATTTGCGCATGCCTGCAGGCAAGCACCTTCTTGCTGATGCAGGCTTCAGTACATGTGATGCACTTCTTGTACCTTATCAAGGTGTGCGCTATCATCTGAAGGAATGGTGCCAAGCAAACCTTGCATAAGTTTATTCATTCTACATTTGTTTTTATATTAAATCATTTTGTACTAGGCCACAAGATTCCAAAGAATTGTTCAATCTACGACATGCAGCACTGTGCAATATTGTTGAATGGATCTTTGGTATGTTGAAGCACCAATGGTGCATTTTGATGATAGCACCAGAATATAGCATGCACATCCAGGCCCAGATCCCAGCAGCACTATGTGCTATTCACAACTTTGTATGAAGGTACAATCCTGATCTATTTGATCTTGCTCTTGACCATGAGTATGATCTCGTGGAGGATGATGCTGTAGGATATGGGATGCTTTCTGAAGGACTGGCAGATAACACTGAGAGGAGACAAGCAGATGCTCGTTGGGAGGCAATTGCAGTGGCGATGTGGGCTGACTATCTTGAGGAATGCGAATGAAGGGGACTCTCATTGCCTTTGTAGTAGGTATCATACAATTTCTGTACAACATATGCAATCAAGACATTTGAGATGAAACAAGTGCATAACATTGGAGATAATCAATATAATAGTACACTACAAGACTGCCATATGGTCCTGTGAGGCCTGATGTGGTGCACCACCACAAAGCACTCACTTCTCCTCCAACCACTTAAGCCTTGTTACTTCATCTAATAAGTAGAAAATGATGGCCTGGTTTTCATGTTCAGCCAAGAAGTTGGCAATGGCTAGGCACCCTTTACTAGTGAGGTTTGTGCACTTGTTGAGCAATGAAATGGCACTCCCAACATGCGTGGAAGGGTGTGGCTGCACTGACAGCAGTGGTGGCAGTGGCAGAGCTAATGTGAAACTTTTTTGCATCTCGCCTACTACTTCAACAAGGTTCTTCATCATTTCAGTACCCTCCTGTTGCACTAACAATGTGGCAGATGGTGGCCAATTTCACTTCTGGGAGCTTGCAAATGAGCTAGGACCAAGTGTGCTGAATTTATGTTTCCCATGGCTGATGCTCATCCATACTGAGTCTGTGGTAGAACCTGCAGTGGAGGGCGCAAGATAGGTAGATGGAACATGTGGCTCAAGGAAATCTGGATCAACTGGGGATGTTGGCTCTGAAGTTGCTGTTGCTGGGGGGGGTGGAAGTAGAGATGGTAGGATTCTGAGGCTCGTCACTTGTTGTGGTAGGCCAGAAAACATGTGAACCCTTGGGCTGGTTTGGCATTAACTGCTCCATGATCTCAAAGTGGTCAAAGCCCTTTGTCATAAAGGGCTTTGCATGAGGATGTGACTGAAGATAATGTCATTGAGGAGCATGCAATCTATTGTGGTACTTACCTTGGTAAAATGTGCCCAGACATCATCCTTTCTATCTGTAATACCTGCTCCATGCTCATCACTCCATGTGGAACCCAATGTACACTTTATCTCAATGACACTGTGATATGCTTTCTTGAACTATAAAAATATATGATGACATTGGCAGTGGTGCAAAAGTTCACTAGATGCACCACTGTCCATTTATTCTTACAAACTGTACCAGTCTTTTCTGCACCCCTCTGCTGTTTGATTGTTTCCTTGAGGTGGGCAACTGCCTGATTGAAAGTGAGCATCTTGAAGCCTCCATCGCCTGAGGAAGAAAGGTTCTTCAAGAGGAACTCAAGAAAGGCAGTTTCCTCTGCCTTTGACCACACTGCAGGAGCCTTCTGGGATGTTCCAGTTCCAGCGGCTGCTTCAATGGTACCTCGAGAGCATAGGGAGTGTGAAGATCCACTGCTGGATTTATTAGACATTTCGATGATGAAGGAAGGCACATATCTCCTGGCATCACATGCTGTTTTGAACCACAATTTTTGAACCAAGGTTCGCTGTCCAAACAGCACACTGTGGGTAGTAGATCCAATGAAATTCAGTGGGTGAAATCAGATGATAACTTCATGAAATTCATAGCATGATGCACTGAAACCAAGGTGCCGAAATTGCTGTTTTTTACTCTGAAAACATACTCTGAAATAATGTGCTGAAATTCTTGCTCGAAAAAAAAAACATTGACATTGTGACATGTCACACATGACATCAGGTGATGCATCATGACCTTACTTCACGATTTATAATTTGCCAATGGCAGGAATTGAACCCATGACCTTGGGCTTATGAGGCCTAAGATACATACAGTACAGCGCATACCTTTTTCGGCATGTCAAACACGTTCAACACAAATACACTACTGTGACTTCAAAACTCCATTGTTTTTAATGTAAAGTAATGTAATAGACTCAGTTTCATATACAGAACATGACCTATTGAACAAGTAGACACAATTCTGAAGTTTAAATTTTTCGTCATCAAAAATTGAAACATGCCTTCAAAAACTGCGTTTTAGCGCTGATAGAGGCCTGTAGGGCCTTCGGGTGAGTGTAAACGGTGTTTTGAGGGATATATGAAGGCTCTGTGAGGTATCTAAGACTCCATTAATGCAATTATTTTGTTTGGGAGTCCTACACGGCGGTGAGACTTGTATTTGTGCACCATGAAGGCTGTTTGATGTGAATCAAGTCCTTTTCTGTGACACATAGCGTGGCAAAGAGTAAAATCAGAAAATTGAACAGGATCAGATACAGGGCAATGGAAAACTCACCAATATGCATCCATATAGCGCCACATTTTATGAAAAAACCGACGGATAGTCAAGGTCTCACACATATCAAGACACTGTGGAACCAGGACTTTCGCAGTCGTGAATTTTCCGTCTGATGCTTTGCGATAACCTGAATGGTCCGTGAGTTAGTGTGATATGAATATGAAGGAAAACAACAATAAAACTCATGGTATTTGGCATAACCCCACAGCAACTCAATAGGGTTCAACTCGCAGTGAAACTTGGGCAAAAACATACAAACATGCCCATGGCTCTCGATATAATGTTGTATCATCAGCTTTTCGGTGGCAAAGTCCTCTTGCAATGACCGCACATGATACATGCAGCACCACTCACTTTCTGGTGCTGTCTCAACCTCCTCGGCTTGGGATATGTCATTATCTGACAACATGTCTTCTTACCCCATTGCCTCAGCTGCAGCAACTCACCTCTCAGCATCTTTCTTCGCCTGTGATTTCTGGCAGCTCCTGCACTTTCCCACAACTTTTCCATGACATTGCAAGCTCAACTCCTGCCAAACAGATTCGCACTCTTGAAGTACAGCCTTCATACCTTTTGGGTTTCCTCGCAATTGAAGATCAGGGGTGTCAGGGTACACCAACTGCTGAGGCATCCCTCATGTATCAAGTTGGCCTGGTTTTGGAGGTAGATTGGTAAGGGGGATGACTGTGTCTCGCATCACCCGCTGTTTTCCACCCGGGTTAACATTCATATTGTTGACATTGAGTGCATCAACCACGAGACCTTCGTGTGCAGGAGGAGCAATCGAAAAGCCAGATACCGACTTTCTCAGGATGTAGGTACTCAAAAATATCAACTGCAACTTTCGTCTGGTCCATGAGTTGGGCAAGGTCCCACCATGCATCGTGATTTTTACCAGGATATATGATTTTGCGAGCGTCCATTGCTTTGAGTCAAGCTTCTGGAAGCAATTGCAGTTGTTGTGCAATCTGTTCTTGCAAGAGCATGAGCCAACCTGTCGGTTCACAGATCCAGTCCAATATGTGAATTCCTCGGCCATTCCCTTTTGTCTTCAATGGTTGCTGGTTGTCTTTCAACCACACCCGATGGGCGTGATCATTGGTGCTGATGGTGCACTCATCGTGTGCGAGAAGTATGTATTCTTTCTCTCCTGGCCTCAGGATTGGTGGAATCAGCTCCAGAGTTTCATCATCATATTTGAACATAAAACTTTACCGTGGTGTGAATAAGTATCGATGTGCGGAAACCTGCGGAAACTCACCGTTCATATTCTTCCATCTGATCCAGGAACTTTTTGCATGCCTCAATGACATCAGGGCGTTCGTGACCATCATGGTAAACCCCCTTCTTAACATCTTTACAGCTATAACTGAGTTTCTTCAACCAATTGATAGCTGTCCATTCACAAATACAGCTCTTTTTCTCGGATAAATCCAAGGCCGGAAGAATGACCTTGTTGACATGACAGCAGAATTCTCGAGGGGTGATGGTGCCCAGGCTCTGAGCAGCCAAGTATCTTCAAACACCATGCAGGACTGATTCATTTTCCAGGAGTGTATATTGGCCATGTTTGGCACCTTTTTTCGTGAGCGGGAGACGACGATGGCACAAGAGATAGTTTTCATGGTGGCAGATCTGACGTGCAAAGTATGCACCATCTGCTTTTCCCATCCAACATGCAATAGCCAGACTGGCATTGAGACAGGGTCGCTTGCAATTTGGATTGCGGTGGAATCTCTCCCAGAGCTGCACATATTGGGTAACTGCAGTAAGATGCATCACCATCTTGACTCTTCGTGCTGCTGGCATATCTAACTTTTTAAGATCTTCCAGACACAATTTTACTGATCTGGAAGATGTCGGGGGCAGGCTTGTCCTCATCCTCGTCCATAAGCTCTCAGTGCAGCAGTAATTTCAGGTGCTTCAGTGACTTGTGCTTCTGAATCGATGACTGATTTGGACTCGTCATGGTCCAATTCTTCCACTCCATTGTGAGCAAGCTGACCCAAGGTCAGTTTCAAGGTTTGTGGGTTTGTACTGCACAGGACATACCCAGAAATCATCATTTGTCTCATTGTTGGGCATTTGAAGCTGGGGCTCTCCAATGGACAATTCATTCTCAAGCTGCTCCATACAAAAGACATCAAATTCGAGACCCATCTCGATGTCAAAGGCAAGTCCAGAATCTTCCTCCAATGTTTCATCCATCATCTCACTCTCAAACATGAGTTGTAAATCTGGGGATGGTGTGCGGGTCCGTTTTTTCTGCATGTCACTTAGTTTCCTATCTATTTGGTGAGTTTTGAAGTTGATGACTCACGGAAAAGAACGAGTCCAGTTTCTGACATCCTTTTGATGCCCCTTTCCAATAGTTCTTCTTCTGCCAGTTACTTGTATGAGAGTCCTTCTGATAAATAACACTTCGGTTGGGACCCTGTTGTTTTTTGGCCTGCAGCAGGTTGTGTTGCTTTAGATGTAGTGACAAAAAGACAGCATAAAGTTTTTGCAAGGACACAATGTTTTCTGGTGATTCATCTTGTTCTTCTGCATCAGATTCTGCAGCTGACCAGACTTCTTCACCTGAATCATACATTGATTCACCAGAATCGGAGACAGCTTTCGCAGGTACAAACATTGACTGGCCAGCCCATCACTTCACTCTGGCTTGTGTGGCAGCTTTGTTGGGGCGTGGCATAACTGTCTGTGTATGGGGCAAATGGACTAACAGGTAAACAAAAAAAATTAAATTGGTCCACATTTTGAAACATGGGCACTTAATTTGAAAATGTTAGACTACGTGTCTTTTTAACCTAGTAAGTATTTGGGAAATATCCAACAGGGCTCTGAAGTTCAAAAAAATGTGGTGCGGAGGAGTCGAAAAAGTGTTGCATGTACTGTAGCACCACTACCACTAAGCCACAGGACCTTTGATTACTACAATCACAATTCTAATATATACCATCCTTCTTCTACTAAAAAATTATTAGTGAAAATATCATTGTTGTAAGCTATTTACAACATTCATTGGAAAAAAGGTGCTGAAGTTGGTGCTAAATCAGATTCATTGGAAAATAGTGCTGAAAGTGGTGCTGAATTGGATTCAGCATTCCAATGAAATTAACTACCTGCCATTTCAGTAGAAGTTCCAATGAAAATTTCAGCATCAGGGCTTTTTTCAATGATTTTGATTGGAATCACTACCCACAGTGAGCACCTAAGTCATGTGTTCTTTTCCTGATGTGAATCTGTGGCACAAATTTGGTGTTGGACATCAATAGGGACGTTCAAAGTTGGGCACCCACGCCCACCGCCTACGCCCACGACCCCCCTCGCCCATATACCACTACCCATTTTGTACTTGAACGAATGTATTATATAATCAATGATAACTTAACACTACCGAAACCACATTACACTCAATGGCACGTCTCCGAACATCACGTGAGCAATACCTTCACTTGTATCTCTTGCTTATGGTTCTTCGCACTTTGTGTCAGCCAGATATGACCCTCAAAGAGGCAGCAGCACAGCAGCATTGCGACTTATCTTGCATTCTTGCTATTCAACAAACTCGTTATCTTCAAGAGCGCTCCCCTGTTGCAAAAGCCAGCACCCTGCACCTTGCTTGGGAATACGCAAAATCACCATCTGATCATAATCGCTTTATTCACATGCTCCATGTTTCTCCAATGACATTTCAAGTCCTGCTCAATCTGATTGAAGGTCATCCAGTTTTTTCCAATAATTCCAACAATGCACAGGCACCTGTTCAGACTCAGCTTGCTGTCACTCTCTATCGAATGGGTAGATACGGCAATGGTGCCTCAGTACTGGACATTGCTCGCCTTGCAGGAATTTCTGAGGGTGCAGTAGAGTTGTTCACGCAATGATGCTTCCATGCAATTCAATCTTTGCATGACACTTTTGTATGCTTACCAACTGCTGAAGAAAAGGAGGTTGAGAAATCATGGATAGATGACCGGCTCAAATTCCAAGGAACTTGGAGGGAAGGTTGGGTGATGTATGATGGGACAATTGTTGTTCTGCATACTAAGCCAGGTCTCAATGGAGATGCATATTACACACGAAAGTCAAACTATGGACTGAATCTACAGGTACTATATCACACAGTTTTTTTAAACAATATTGAAGTGCTTTAACAGGTTGGAAATTTGCCATCCAATCTTCGTATTGTGGACTATGTGCATGGCCTGACTGGTTCTGCCCATGATGCCTCTGCCTTTGAGCATATTGCAGCTTCAAAACATGCAGATTGGTTTTTTAAAGGCGATGAGTTTGCCTGGGTAGACTCTGCATATCCGGTCAGTAGTCATACCATTCCAGTCCACAAGCGTCCTGCTTCTCTCATTCCCGAGAATGCTCTATTTGATAGTGCAGTGGCCCATCTCCGAGTACGTTCTGAGCATTGCATGGGAGCTCTGAAAGGGTGCTGGCAATGCTTGCGGGGGCTTCAGGTGACCATCACATCAAAGCACCATCATTGGGCAGCATGCAACTGGATTACAGTGGCCATTATCCTGCATAACCTTGTGATAGATGTTGAAGGAGGAGTACAAGGGGCACACTTTGCTGGGATCCACACTCACACTGATGAACACAAAGATAGAGGATTGCCTGATATTTTTCCAAGTCAAGTGATTGGGAATAATGGAGAATTGAAGCGACAAAAGCTTGTAGAAGAGTTGATGGCATTTCAACAAATGTAACAGAAGTATTTGATGAACTACTATTAACAAGTGTATATAATAGAAAGGTGTTACGAAGTGACTAGAAGTTGACCATAAGGCAGAAAAAAATTTATCAAGAGGCGAAGGCAGAAATTATACCAAGACTCATCAAAGAAATACCCTAATCAAAATCTGGCCAATCTGGAGAGTAACGAGCACGCTTCACAGGCTCAGCCTTGTCATGCATCAGTTCACATAGCTTTTCACAATACTCGTCAACATCCCAAATTCCGGCCTCGAACTCTTTGAGCAGCAGTTGGCGCTCTTGAAGCTTCCTCTCTGCTGTAGCACGAGCATTGATAGCATCTAAACTGGCCCTTTGCATATATAAGTGTAAGGTCAATTGAAATATAAATAAAAAAACATACTTCTGCATGTCAATGAGTGTCTCATCAAGGGTCCACTTCTTCGGCACCTTGGAGATCCATTGTCTCACTTTGGTGAGACTATCTTGTAACATTGATGAAGATTTCGGAGCTCGCTTAGTTGTTGGGGTAGGGGTTGACTGCAAGGATGGAGGAGGATCATTCTCCTTGTCATCGACATCATAAAGAGGTTGAGAAAAGTCAGAAGGATCTATGATATTATCAAAAGGAGACTCAAAAGATGGCGAGATTCCACGCTGTGCTGCTTCATTCTGAAGGGCTGTGTGGAGGCTCTGGATCTGCGAAAAATTCTCCAATGCAAGTTCTGGTCCTTCATCATCACTCGGAGGCTGGTAGTGCACAGTCTTCCTGCCATGTGGGCCAACACCAGTAGTGATGGCTATCGGAGTGACATTTGGACGGGAGGATAAGATTCAATGGAGGACAGGAAAGAATTTGAACTGCTCAACAATCTCATCTGCATAATGTTAGAATTATTCTGACAGAAAGTAAGTAACATACCCCAAATACACTGTGCTTTCGGAGTTGTGGTTGCATCGGGTCCATCAGCGGGGACATAGTATTTGAAAAATTCATTGTCGGAGACATTGCCGTTCGCGTCAGATTGGATCCCTTCACCAGTTGTTCGGAGACGTCGAGCATGCACCTTGTATTTTTTTCGTTAAGCTGAGCAGAATTGTAAGCTGGAAAATAGTGAAAAAAGCGCAACACTCACTACTCGTACTTTCGTTTGACTCGGTCCCCCATTGCAACAGCATTCTGGCTGTGCAATTGCAGGAAAACGGCAGCCGCCATGCGCTGATATACCGTCACTTTGCTATCTCCTGACGTGTTCTGGCACAGAAACATCATATCTTGTATCACATATGACAACTTTGACTCACTGACCTCGCCCTTCTTCCATTTGCCTAGAAGCATGACTCTGTTCTCCGAAAGTTCAATCTGCACCAATAGCTGCCAGACCAAGTCATCGGTCCAGACAATCTCCGGGATTGTGACATCATTATCCTTCTTCTTTGCCATATGCACAGATCTGATTGATGGTGAGTAGAAGGTAACAAACAATAATTTTTTACAATTACTTTTGTATTATCTAATTATGCAAGCTACGTTTTAGGTGACGACGCCATGGGCGAAGGGGTCATGGGCGTAGGCGGTGGGCGTGGGCGCCCAACTTTGAACGTCCCTAATAATGACCTGGTATTTATGTTCAGCTTGTGCCACTTCATTGACGAATGAGACATTCATGTCTGAAGAGTGAGACATGGAATACGCGATGAATAAAGAGAAGGCTGAAGGCTGCGAGTCAACGCGGAATCCTGACGGGCAATTTAAACGCCCGCTTGATGTTGGCTTGATGTGTCATCATATAATTTTGTTTCAAGCCACTTAAGGTGCAAACCGCAGGGGATAGTATATCTTTAACTTCTCCACTAGTTCACTGAATCAGTAACTTCCATGGCCAGGACTTCTTCTCTGCATTTTGAATCCGACGAGTACAGCGCTCGGTCCGCTAGGCTCGTTTCGAATGTCAAATTTCTCTTTCGTCTCGTTTGAAATAGTCTAGGAATTATTTAACAACCCACAGGAAATGCCGACGACCTCCTCAATTACCCATTCTCCTGTGCTGAATAACTCAGCGCGCCATGGATTGCTACAATCCCTGCAATCCGTATTTTGGCGCCCCACCCAAGGCTCTCATCCGATCTGATATCTGGTTCGCCGATGGAAATATTGTCCTCATCGCCGACTCTGCCGCCTTCAAGGTACACCACGGTCAACTAGAAAGGCACTCGGAGGTGTTCCGTGACTTGTTTTCTGTCCCGCAGCCCCTTGACCAGAACCTCGTCGACGGTTGTCCTTCAGTCGAGCTGCATGATCGACCATCGGATTTATACCACCTGCTCATTGCGTTGTATGATGGAATGTGAGTATCTAAGATGGTCTTGTAATTAATTCAATGCTCAACGTTCCGCATAGCTACTTCACGAAGCACACTTCAGCCGATTTTGGCGCTATCTCCGCCGTACTCCGTCTTTCCACAAAATATTTCATCGAGCACCTACGCGAACGCTGCGTCGCCCGTCTCGCCATAGACTGGCCCACATCACTCCCCGACTGGGATCGCAGGGAGAACGACGGGATAGATCAAAAGGGCCGCTATAACCCCCGCGACACGCTCCCCCACCCAATCCTAATGCTTGAGCTCGCTTACGAGCTCCGCCTCGACGCCTTCCTCCCCAGTGCGTTCTACGACCTCTCTCGTTACGGTCCCAGCAAGATTCTAGCCGGCACTCGCGGTCCCCCACCCATCTTCTCCACTGATGGCGAGCCCGAAGGCCAGCTCGTCCGCCTCTCAGACAATCACTTGTGCATGACATTCCTAGGCCGTGAGGCTGCGCAGATGTACGTACATACCTTCCTCGAATCTGCACTTCGCGACCGCCCGTCAATCAACTGCACGAACGCAGGGAAGTTGAGCGCCGTGCACTGCGTTGAGTCATTCTACTTCATACACCTCAACGTTCTGCGTTCCGTTGGTGGGATTGCGTGCGGACGTGATGCAGATCCGTTGCATACGCTTCTACAAGCCGCAGAGATGTTGGATAGGACAGACTTTTCAGATGGGGAGAAGACGTGTGGGTTGAAAATGTGTTCGGTATGTAAGACTGAGTTTCAGGATGCCGTTAAGAAGGCAAGGCTGGACGTATGGGAGCTGATTCCGGAGTGGTTTGGGCTCAGGGAGTCATATTTTGCGGAGGATATGAGCTAGATCTTTTATAACATTTATCGAGGTATTATGCTTTCGGAATGCGCAGTTATCTCAACACGCCCACTAGTACACAGAAGGAACGGAAAGCGATGGATTATCATAGATACAAAACCGACATGTGAGATGAGTGATATACAGTGAGAGCACGATTATTCCTCTCCAATTTTTGGTGCGAGGTAGTACTTGATCTCGCCTTGTCCGAATTTGTAAGATACCTGAACATAGCGTCAAGCGTTAACGACAATCGACGAGCAGCAAGAAACAAAACGTACAAGAAGTGGCACGTCGTTGCTCATCATGAGCTGTACCGTGTTTGATAGCGCTGAGCTCTTTGAGAAGTTGACGAGGTACTTCAAGCTGAACGTTAGCGACACGTGTTGATTCATCTCAATGAGCACCCCTCCGTCTGTGGGAGTCTCGTCCGCCTTTTTGACTTTCTTGGCGGGCTTGCCATTGGTCTTAGCACTTGTCAGTGAGCGAAATGAAAACTGGGGTGACGACGACCCACCTTTGCGGGTGCCTTCTTGCGCTTCTTGCTACTCTTCTTCTCGTCTTCTTCTTCCTGGTCCTGTTCCTCCTCACCCTCATCGTCCGACTTAGTTTTGAACTCGCCGTCCTTATCTTCATCCTCGTCATCTTCCTCGCCCTCCATCTCGACGTCACCATCCTCTTTCTTCACGTTCTTCTCTTTCTTGACCTTCTTTTTACTGCTACTCCCTTCTTCGTCATCGTCATCATCGTCCTCCTCCTTAGTTTCTTCGTCTTCCTTGCCATAGTTGGCGTACTTCTCCCTTGCAGCCTCGGTCTGCTTTAACAGCACGCTACCGTTTGCGGCTTCGCCCTCACTTGCAAAGCGGACACCTTCCTTCGATACCTCGATCCGCACAGATTCGCCCAGTTGTGACAGATCGCGAACGATCCTCGTGAATTCTGACGCGGTCATGGTAACTCGTGCATCGTACTCTGTGTCTGGAATACCAAGGGTCTCGGCATCGATATCCATGAGTTTCATATCATACTCCGCGATTCGGTCAGAACCTTGGGGTAGACTCATTCATGAACATGGGCACCATAAAATATCACAGAAAGGGCTCACTTCTTGCTTCATAGACGAGGTTCAAAATGTCAGCATCATCGCTCGCCTTGATGATACAGATATCATCATCCTTGGCACATTTAAGAACTTTGGTGAGGGAGGCGAGATTGACACCCAGAGGCATTGGGCGGTCACAGCGATACTTTTTGAAACCTGTCGCTTCAAGCTTGACAGCAACGAGAGCTACATGGGAGTTGTCCATGGCTTGAAGATTCTAAATGCCGCCATCAATAATAAAATAAGCTCGACTGGAAGAAGACGCACGATTCCTTCTTCATTGCACTCAAAGTTGGCATCTGTCACCAACTCTTTAATAGCTGTTTAAATTTTGTCCTATAAGTCCACCACAAAGATCAGCAAAAACGCAGCTTACAGTCTAGCAGACGCTTGAGAAGGGCTGCTTCTTGGAGTCTTGCTTCCAGCATGGTAAGTACAAGAGAAAGAGAATGAAGAGAAAGGGAAGGAGATTAGACGCGTCTAGGTCGCGTTGATTTCAAGCGGAGACGCACGGGTCCATGGACCGCGCCTTTACGCGTCGTGTCACATTTTGTCACGCATCTGGGACCTGTCACACCTTGCCGAACCGGCATGAAACAACAGATTTGTCGAGTCAAGGGTCGTCACCGACTGCCACCACGCTCCAGATCTTTGGATTAGCAGTTGAATGAACTTTGGGAGTAGACGACGGTAAACTGATAACTGGTTTGTGTCGCTGAATTCGAATTCAGACTGCAACTGTGGTCCGCTCGGGCGTTCAAAAACAAACATATGCTGTGGCAGCGTGGCTAATCTTTGGCTTTTTTGTCCCCGACAAAGCGTCTTCTTCATATAACGGCTGGATACCGTATCCGCCACCTCTAAAGCTCTTTATCCTATTTCTTATACCTCCCCGCGTCTCGCATTTCATTATGCAAGGAAATATCACGGACCGTAGTAAACTTCGCATGGAGCGGCTCAGGCTGGAAGAGCTGGAGCAGCAGCGTTGGGAACAAGAGGCACTTGTCATGCCTGAGGTGCGTACCTATGTATCTCCTTGAGCGATGCACAGAGCTTATTGTTCACGAAGGCACTCAATCAAGCTCTGCTAATGTCATTTGCGTCGGTCAAGACTGAATTCAGTGACCTTGACGGACTTTCGTGGCCCCGATACCCTGTCCCTATTGTTCCCAACCCATGGGTACATTGTTATACCATCTTTTTTGGTTTATCTAACATTAATATACCACCAGGCGATAGACGAACCACCTCCCACTCCAAAACCAAATTATCCCGACCTCAACGACTTCCCTGATGAGCCTGAGTACGCTCAACGACCACAAACGCCCTCACCTTATACTATTTCATCTCTCACTGGGCTGGCCTCTTTCGCACCTGGAGAAACCATTCGAGTATCTCGACCCCCAAACAAAATCCCTCGACCTCCCTTACTACCCGCAAACCAGCCCACCAGCATGCCACACCCAGATTCGAATATGTCAAGATACTCTGACCATCCGTCATCTTCACCGCCCACACTCTTTCACATGTCACCTAGTCCACCAAACGACGCTCGTTATGTACTCCGCCAACTGCCTTCATTTGACTCATCTATGCAGACCCGGATCTCCATTTCTTCGAAACACCGCAAATCTAATCCTTAACAATTTCTTAGTATTACATTCTTTATCACATCGCCTCGTCTTATACGTTAACGGAAATGCTTTGTATCAATACTACTGTAGCTGTAAACTTAGAGTTCAATGGACCGCCTGTGATATTTTTATAAAATATCGTTTTGCAGGGTCATCAGAACATGATGCTGAATGGAGGAATGAAATTGGACGAATGTTACATGTTTACACAGCAGCTGGGGTATTAACTCTATCTCTATGAATAATCATGATGGCATGTGTGGTTCGGCGCATTATTGCCATCGCGGGAGAACGCCGCGGCGTCAGCGCTGCCCCGAACTGAGTCAAATCATCATTGCGCGGCGCGGCCCGACACTGGTTGTCCTGGCGCTTGCCAGTGAGAAGGCGCTCAGCGCTGACATTGTGGCTCGCTTTTGAATTAATGATATTCCTCTTTTCCCTCGCAGGTCTTCGGTGTGCCAGTGTTCTTGTTCCTGGTCCTCCCGTGCGTATTCACTCGGACGTCTGAATTGTGTGATTGTGCACTCATTGCGAGATCCTTCACAGTGATCAATAGTAGGGCAGTTGTTATGTTGCACCCGTAACAAAGCAGATGACGTGGACGAATCTCGAGCGGCCCTGCAGAGCTGTCTCCCTGATCATCCTCATCGATCAGCATCTCAACAATCTTGCCGTCAGCCTCCGAGACAGGTTCAAGCAGCATGGCGTCCTGTCTGACCTTGATGAAGCTATTGAGCTCCATAGGGCTGCATTGGCGCTCCGTCCGCCTGGTCACCCTAGTCGATCCTCGTCTCTCAATAACCTTGCCAGCAACCTTCGAGCTAGGTTCGAGCAACGAAGAGTGTTGTTTGACCTGGATGAGGCCATTGAACTCCATCGGGCTGCACTGGACATCTGTCCCCCTGGCTATTCCGACCGTTTCATGTCGCTCAACAATCTTGGTATCAACCTTCAAGACAGATTCCAACAGCGGGGTGTCTTGTCTGACCTCGATGAGGCTATTGAACTCCATCACGCAGCATTACTCCTCCGCCCCCCTGGTCATTCTGATCGTTCCATGTCTTTCGACAATCTTGCTGTCAGTCTTGGACACAGATTTCAGCAGCGGGGTGTCCTGTCTGATCTCGACGAGGTCATCGAGCTTCATCGAGTTGCACTACTCCTCCGTCCCCCGGGTCATTCTCTGCAAACCTCGTCTCTCAACAATCTTGCCATCAGTCTTCGAGACAGATTCCAGCAGCGGGGAATTCCATCTGACCTTGATGAGGCCATTGAGCTCCATCGGACTGCACTAGCGCTCTGCCCTCCTGACCATTCAGATCGTTCCATGTCTCCTGACAATCTTTCCATTCGAGACAGATTTCAGCGGTGTGGGGTGTCCTTTCTGACCTCGATGAAGCCATTGAGCTGCATCGGGCAGCACTACTCCTCTATCCCCCTGATCATTCTGATCGATCCAGGTCTCTCAATGATCTTACTGTCAGCCTTCGAGACAGATACCAGAAGCGGGGTGTTCTGTCTGACCTTGATGAGGCCATCGAACTCCATCGAGCCGCACTACTCCTCAGCTCCCCTGGTCACTCTCTACGAACCTCGTCTCTCAACAATCTTGCTATCAGCCTTCGAGATAGATTCCAGCAACAGAGCAACCTGTCTGACCTTAATGAGGCCATTGAACACATCGAGCTGCCCTAATTCTGTCCCCCCGGTCATTCTCTTCGGACATTGTCTCTTAACAGTCTTGCCATCAGCCTTCGAGACAGATTCAAGCATCAGGGTGCTTCATCTGACCTGGATGACGCGATTGAGCTGCATCGCGCTGCGCTGCAGTTCTGTCCCCCCGGTCATTATCTTAGAACTTCTTCTCTCAACCATGCTGCCGTCAGCCTTCAGGACAGATTCCAGCAGCGGGGCATTCCGTCTGACCTAGAGGAAGCATTTAGGCTCTATTTGCAACTCTCCCACCTATCTCATGCAGTCTCTCGAAGCGATCTTAGTGCTGCCAAGTCATGGGCAGCTTCCGCCGAGGAGCTAAATCATGGCTCTGCATTGGTTGCCTATCAAAAACCACATTGAAATTCATAGATCAACATGTTACCTCTTTGTCGTCTTCTTCACGCCATTTCGATGTCGTCAGGGAGGCCACTTCATCCCTTGCCATGGATGCCTTCTCATGCAGCGTTCGTCATGGTGCATTCACGACTGCTGTGGAATTGGTGGAGCAAGGCCGTGCGGTATTCTGGACCCGGTTATCACGCTTCCGCACACCGCTCGATGAACTTTCTGCATCGGGTGACACTGGCGCAGCCTTGGCGGAAGAGTTCAAGCAACCGAGCTTCCGCCTTCGTAAGCCGTTCGATCAGTCAACCGAAGACCAGTCCCCACAAATCCGCCAACTGACCATGCAATGGGAGGATGTTGTCTCGCGCATCCGCATCCTCCCTGTTTTTTCTCGATTTCTACTACCTCCACTGTTTTCTGGCCTCCAGAAGGCAGCCGAAGAAGGTCCAGTCATCATTGTCAATGCCAGTCAGTACAGCTGTGACGCTTTGATTATCTCGAGCGTCCAAGATCCTATCTACGTTCCACTTGATATCGCATGGACCGAAGTCTCCGAGTTATCCTCCGAGTTTCAGTCCCTCACGGGCCAATTTGGTTCTTCTGAGCATCAACACGAGCTGGTCAGCATCCTCCGCAAGCTTTGGGATCATATTGTTGACCCTGTGGTTCAAGCTCTTAGGGAGTCACGAGTTCATCGCGGCTCGCGGATCTGGTGGTGTCCAACAGCTGAGTTCGCGCTGCTTCTGCTCCATGCAGCAGGACCGTACGAGAAGAAGAAGGACAATTTGTTTGACATTTACATTTCTTCTTACACTCCGACTTTGGTGACGCTTATTCGTGCCAGACAGCAGGTTTCTCGAGATGCGCTCCTGCAGCATTTTGTTGCTATCGGTCAAGGGAACCTAGACAAGGGAAAGAACTTCGTTGTGTTGCTCCCGAGCTAGCCGCCGTTGCTCAGCATGTTGGGCCCGTCGTCTCCTTCACATCACTTGCGGACAGCGATGCAACAGTTCAGGGAGCATTTGATGCATTGAGCTAGAATCAATGGGTTCACATAGCCTGCCACGGAATGCCGAATCGACGACAACCATTCGAGTCTTCCTTCGCGATGCGCGATGGGCCTTTGATGATTAAGGATATCATCCAATCTCACTGGCAGAATCCGGAATTCGCATTCTTATCGGGCTGCCACACTACTGTAGGCGATGAGACGAGTCCCGATTAAGCCATCTATCTCGCTGCGGCTATGCAATTCTCGGGATTTCGCAGTCTGATTGGTACCATGTGGTCTGTGGACGAAGAGGTTGTACGGCAGATCGTGTCTGCTTTTTACAGCAACCTGGTTGATGGATCAGGGAGATTGGACTGCACCCGGGCTGCGGTAGCATTGCACAAGACTGTGAAGACATTACGGCGCAAGAAGATTCCACTGGAACAGCAGATCGTGTTCATTCACATAGGTGTCTAGTTTGACACTCCACTGGCCATATTGTATTTTCAATCTTGGTTGCTTTCATTCCCTCGTCCTATTTCTTGGTGATTAAATATTGATGTTGCATTGTAGCGAACGAAAATTATGAGACTGCAGATTTGTAGCTCGCAGCTCTCTCTGTCCCTGCAAACCGTCTTACAATCTTCGAGGACGCATCTTGCGACCGTGTATAGGCCGACCCGAGTAGAGGTCACATCGACTCGGTGGTATCCACCGGACCATAAACACACGCGGCACCAGATAATGTTGATTCCTGTTGATTCATTAGCCTCGAGGTTGTCAAATACATATAGGTCATAAATCTCAGTTCGTGCTACCAAAATCAGGAAAACCTTGAGAGGGTCTTTGATAATTTGCAAGCTTCTTAACATGGATCCTTCTGTATAAAGTTTATTATAAGTTCTAAGAATGATGATGGACCGCGCATGTGTCATTCAGCGCATCATTGATCACGGAGAACAATCCTCAGCGCTGTCTTGACAGGCCATACGCGGACAATTATATTTACATAATGTTCTGGCGCTCAGCGCTGACATTACGCGTCACCAGCAAAAACCCTCGTCGAGTGACAACAAGTACAGCACCTTTGGTATTCAATTCGACTATTGACGCGTTCCTAAAATTGTAAGAGAACGCCGCATATGGTCGAGAACAGAACAGATCAACGTGAGAGCGGTAACGCAAAGGATCACATATAAAATACCTCCGGGTAGTATATATCTGCCATGTGTCTCAGCTAATAATGGACGATTGAGTACAAATGTGTCCGCAAGCCGCAGTACCTATGCAATGATGCACGAATCGTTGGACTTGATGTCAACCTTATCCATCAACAAGCGATTCCGCGTCCTCAGATCCTCAACTTCCTCTTGTAGGGCCCTCGATTTCTCCCTTTCCTCCCTCCTCAGCTGAATGAGGACAGGCAAGAGATCCCTGACGCTCTTCCAAGCAGCGAAGCGCTTTCCTATCTCCACACGCACGTCATCGTCCAGCACACGACATGAACGTGCGCCAAACGATGTCCAAGTTACGCCAACCTCGAGTTTGCATCCAGGTGGACACAAGTGGCTCATGAACGCAGCGACGGCGTCCGGGTCGCGTGCTCGTGACGTCCCAAGAGATAAGATGTAAAGAGCTGCAAACGGCTTCAATTTGGGCGTGGGAGGGATCATCGTAGGGGTGGCATCAATAAAAAGACCTAAGCGGCGTAGCTTGGGGCAGTGGCGGGCAAACGGGACGAGAGCTCGCAGGTCAAGGGGGAATTCATGCATGACAAGTGGTTCCTCATTCAGAGTTAGACTCTCAAGGGACGGCCACCGGCTTGCAAGTTCCTCGATCTCCTCCAGGGTAATGTTAACCGGGTATTTGTGCATGACCTGGAATGTAGTGAGATTTGGGAATGAAAGTAGTGGTTTGAGTGTGTTGAACGTGATTTGGTCTGCAGGAACGAGCTCCAGTTGCCCGGTTATGTGGTGCGATAGTAAGATGTACAATTGGGAGAGACGGCGGCATCTCTCTGAGAGCGTGACGAGCAACGTGTGTAGTTCCTGTGGTTTGTGTTCAACATAGGTGTTGATGTATAGTGATGTGAGATTGATGGGTGCAAAGTCTGCATTCATGAATTTCATGACATCCCTAATGCAAGCAGTAATGGCTAGGTCCCACAGCGCAGGAAAAGCTCCTTGCTCAAGGACAGGCGCAAAGGAGTCTACATCCCTTTCGTCACCAAACCCTTGCTCATATCCATATTCGAATTGCACGATGTTGATATGTTTCATCCGCGAAAGCTCAGAAACGATGGTCGACGTGAGGAAAAATTCAGGGAAAATGATCTTTTTCAGATCCGGAAGACCTCGAAGAAGCTCCAGGATGGTTGTCTCGATGCATTCCGCGCGGTAGGGAATGCGGAGGTCAAGTAATTGGAGGTGGGGCACGCGGACGCAGATGTCAACAAAAAATGGAGTTTTAGTTTTGTAGCGGAAAGGAGGCGCAGATATGATGAGGTGCTTCACCCGCTGATGCATGAATAGTGTGGCTCGTTCCATGCAGTCGACATCTTCAAATAACCACTCCAGAGTATGCAGATTCGGAAGCATCTCGAGGGTTGTCCTCGTCCTGGCCATATCATCCAGAAGACCAGAATAGTCCGCGTCCATCTCCTGTTGGAATCGCAATGTGCGCACGCGATGAGCATACTTCTGGAATCTCGCCCAGTCCGTTGAGTCTGGCAGCCCATCGAAGTACTACATAGAAGTTATCGAACCAATTAGCAGGAGAACAACAGTAAGACAGACTGGATGACGCACATGATACGTTCCCTTCGCTTTGTATGGCCTCAAGAGAGTAAGAAGTCGGGGAAGGTCGTCTACCTCTCTCCAAATGCAGTCCAGAGTAATCTCTGACCATTGCCTGCAAACACACGCGTTGATTACATGGTCATCTCCGTCCATAAAACTAAGGATGGTGTCCAGCAGCTCCGGAATGAATAGCACCCTGTGAGGCTGCATGACAGACATCGATGACACTCGAAAGGACAATATTCTTATATCATTCGATTTCGATCATGCAAAGTGCTGGCAGACAAGGCGCTCGCCAGCCTCGGCAAGTTCCGTGACTCCCTGATCATGACCGCCATCAATTGATATCTAGTGCTAAACCGTTAACAGAGATACAAATGACAGACGGCCCCGGTGTCTCTACTTTCTCTGCGTCGGGGGAGGACGCGATAACCCGCACCATCGAGTTGAATATAGATGCATCTACGGAATCGGACATAGCCCCGTCTGACTTCCTTGAAATTTACGCGATAGAACGAACAGTAACTGCGATCGTTGAAGGGAACTTCAAACGAGTGAGATCGATCCATGTTACTTTGCCCAGGCTGATAATAGCTCATACCAGTATAGACAGCACTCCAATTTCCTGATGAACTTTTGTGTCATTCTGTCCCAATCTACCGTTTACTCAAGAGTAAGGCAGGCGAGGGTCATGATATCTACGTCTTAGCCGACACTTCCTACGGAAGGTTAGTCATCGTTCTGTCTAGAAAGCATTTTGTGACCGGCTTTGAACTCCAGCTGCTGTGTTGACGAGGTTGCGGCACAACACGTCGATGCAGATCTAATCGTCCATTACGGTCACGCTTGTTTAAGCCAGTACGTGCCAGAGACGTCCCCCAGTTTAACGCCTGTGACATTTTCCTGTAGACCTTCCAGGTTGCCCGTAATTTATGTCTTTGGAAAGAAGCCTATTGATGTTGACGATTGCATCAATCAACTCGGCGAATGTTTAACCATTAAATTACAGCAAGATACAAACAGTGATAGTAATAGTCGACCAACCATTTTACTTCGTTATGACGTAGGATATTCATACCGGGCAGGTGATTCAAGTTTCTCCTTGGGATAGCAACATAAACTTACCAGCAACGCAGACGTAATTGCCCACAGGTTGCAGAGTAGACTGCAGTCCTTGAATACTAGGGTCTTGCACCACCCACTGCCAACTCGACTCGATCCTAAGACCACCACGCAAAATCCCCAGACCCTCGAGCAGACTGGTGCAGAGATCGACGAAGATAGCTGCACGAATGTTATCATCGCGTATATCGGTGGCGAAAGCCTCAATCTTACGAATCTATTAATGACACACTCTCAATGCGAGGTGAACTATGACTTTTGTTATTTAATATCAGCATCTTATGGATACTTCAGGCATATGCATACGACCCTTCTACGAGATCAGCTCGCCTGCAATCGCATAGGACCAATAAGCTGTTGATGCGGCGCTTCGCGATGGTCCAGAGAGCACGAGACGCAGACGTCTTTGGCATTCTCGTCGGCACGTTAGGAGTCAGTCAGTGATGTTATTACTCGTCATCTTCGCGATCTCTAACACTCATTTCTAGCATCGTATTTACCTCTCATAGCCCACGTCAGAAAGCTTCTAGCCCGCGCGCAGAAGAAAAGCTACACCATCAGTGTTGGCAAGCTGAATCCTGCAAAGCTCGCGAATTTCATGGAGATCGAGTGTTTCATATTGATCGCATGCCCTGAAAATAGTGTGATAGATGCTAAGGTTGGTCTGTCTTGTCAAAATTGACCGAAGTACTCACTCTCTATGGTGCGCAGGAGTTTTTAAGACCGATCGTTACCCCTTTTGAACTTGAGGTCGCGCTTCAAGCTGAAGGCACTTGGAGTGGACGATATGTACTGGATTTTGGGAAACTACTTGCCGGAGACTCCGACACAGATCTAGGTAGCTTCCAACGGTATTGCGTCTCGATTTTTCTACACATTTTATTTAGGTGCTATCGATGAAGACAATGGGGACGATCCAGATCAACCGACCTTCTCGTTGGTTACTGGAAAATACCGACAAGCAAAACGCTACGGCAGTAAGTACGATCTTGACCTACTTAGCCTCTTTGTCTTACATTCCAAAGCTCAAGACAATGAGATGCCAATGCAGGGGACGTCAGCTGCTCTTACTCTTCGGAACCAAGATGGTGCTGTCTCTAAATTAGCTGACAGCGCGGCAGGTGAGTGGTCTGCTGCCACATCATTTTCTTGGTCTGATATGTGGCGCAGCACTGTTTCTTCACTCCCGCTCCTATCAAGGGCTAGAGACCAAAATTGGAGAAGATCTTCCTTCTGTCCTGGAACAAGGTCGCAGTGGTATCGCTCGTGGTTATTCTGACGATCATGCATGAATATATCACGCATTTGCATGTCTGAGTTTGATGCACTCACGGAACCTTGTGCCACCCCTCAATCTTCAGGAAGTAACAGTGTATGGTGGCTCGCTGCTGGACAGAACTCTTAGGCTAGTTGCATCTGACACTGCTTACCGTCAGTGAATTGCTGGAAGGTACAAGATCCTAACTATCTGGAATGCCGCAGTGCCTGCTACATACAAGCCCAACGCTCAAGTATTGTCTTTCACATCAGTGCAAGAAACGAGTGGAGTGAGCGTGGTATTGCAAATGATATGCCTTAGAAGATAAAGAGCAAGATGTGTGAAAGCATTAAAAGTCGATAACTCGCGAAATCTAACTCGTCCGTCGATGTCCAATAAGGGTTCCGCGCAACCCCACGAACCCTTTTCTTCCGTTAGTCTGATTTGTTTTGAAATTGGACAGCGATAAATGAGGAGAGGGGGTAGAAGTAAACACCGCAGTCGCATCCGTATCACCTTCACATCGCCATCGACCTCGCGATCTGCGCCAACTGCTCTGCCATCGCGGGGTAGTTTTGTGTGAACTCCAACTGTGACATGCTTGCCTGTAACCACCTCATTAGACACGGAATAAAAGCCGATGCGCTCGTATGGACTCACATATTGGTATGTAAGGGCGTTGACCAGCTCGGGTTCACTGCGTGCCAGCTCCGCTTGCCTCTTGAACATCTCAATGGCGCGGTCAATCTTGCCTTGTTGCAATGACAGCTGCGCAAGCGTAGCAACTGCAGGCTCGCATTCGGGATCAATCCGCAACGCCTCATCGCAGCACCGCTCTGCAGCATCAATGTCTTGCTTCCATTGGTAGATGGCAAGGCCCTTGTTAACAAGAGGGAGAACATTCACCGGGGGAGGCCTAGTTGAGTGGAAGGTGAGTTGATATACTGAACAGGCAGAAAAGAAAAATCATACTTGGCACGCTCAAGCTCCACAGCACGATCAAACTTATCAACGGCGTCCTGGAAACGCTGTTGATCCAGCAATAGCTCGCCACTGCCAATTCATTAGATCAAAACCGTCAGTCAATGCAACTACCCACTAGTAGTTCTGGGGCTCGCTTCGTTGAGGGAAATTGGTCATCGTCCGTCGGAAAGTTGCCATACTCCGCGCAAGTTCACCCATCTTGTACTGGGCGACGGCAAGCTGGATGTGTGAGAATACGAATGTGTCATCGAGTTCGCTGGACTTGGTGTAGTTCTCTGCAGCCTCCTTGAATTCGTTGGTGATGAAGAGAACTGCGAAGCCATGGGTGACGGGTTGGCCATACAGGAATCAGAGTGCTCACCTTGTCCGCGGTGGTAATAGATGTCGGGGTCCTGGGGATTGTGCTTGATCGCTTGCTCGAAGCACTCGAAAGCCTTTGCACCCTCGCCTTGCTCCATGTGCACGCTCGCGATCTTCACCCAACTCTGCGTCAGGGAGGGGAAGAGCTTGACGGATTCATACAGGTCATCTTTAGCGCCAGACACATCACCCATAAGGAACCTATGCAAGACTTAGTCAACGCATCTCAGAGGAATAAGAAAGTGCGAACTTGAAAGTGCCGCGAAGGTTGAGAGCCTCAGCTTTGCCTGTCTCCCATGAAATGCCTTGCTCCATTGCCTCGTTCACGAGAGAAACAGAGTGCGCATAGTCGGCAGCTTCTAGAGCTCGTAATGCGAGAATAAGAGTGTTATCACCGGTTGATGGGTTCTCCGGGAGTGCGGGTAGAGGTCCTGTGCGAGGTTAACTTTTGGAAATAAATGCAGGTGAATATACATACGGATACGGAATGCCGCAAAGTAAGCTGAGATAAACGTGAATGAGGGAAGTCGAGGTTCGCGTGTCTAAGACCAATGAGTGATGCGCCAGTGGTTTCCAGAATCTTACTCACCGCAAGGACACCAGCAGCTTTTTCCGTCGCGATCTTCTTCAGGACGCGTTCCACGGCCTGTGCTGCTGTCTCATTTTGGAATTTCTCCAAGATAGTGGCAGCAGTAAAATCCCGCAGAGCCTCCTCGTTTCTGGACAAGGCTTCAAGAGCGTTGGCACGCCTGTTCAGCGCTTTCACGTAGTTGGCGTCAGCACGCAGCGCCTCGTCACAGTCCTGGACCACCAGCTCATACTTAGGAGGCGTCATGTTCATGTAACCTGTATACACGTGAGACATGCCGTCACGATGATATTGGAAGGAGGAACGCACATGCCGCACGGTTGCTGTAGTACACAGGCTCTGGTTTCGTTGCCACCTGAATTGCACGCGTATACATGTCCACTGCTTGCTGGAATTTTCGGTTTTGGTATAGCGTGTTGCCCCGTGTCTTGAGCGTGCCTGCCAATTTTGTGCGCTCCTGCAGGACTCGTGTCAAAGTGAACAGGTAACTCAGGATTGAAAGTACTGACCTCCACTGACATCCCTGCAATCTCTTCCGCTGATAATGGCGCATCCTCTATGTGCTGGTGAGCGTGAGCCTCCAAGTTGCAGTGATACTAACCTTCTTGCTCGACGACTTTGGGCTTTATCTCTTCAAGTATAGGCCCGTTTGCATCGTTGACAGTCTTCCGTTTTTTTGAAGGCTTCTTTTTGTCTCTTGTCTTGCCCTTCTCCTCGTCACCGCCTAGACCGCGCGAAGTGGAAGCATAATAAACAACACCTCCAACAGCGAGCGCTGCAGCAGCAGTTCCGATAACGACGGCCTTCTTGTTTTCGGCGACGAAATCTTGTATTCTCTCGAAGTAGGAGGTCGACGAGGTAGTGGTCATGGTGGAGGAGCTCTAGACAAACGGCGGTGACGTGCAAGGTCGCAGAAGCTCGGCTTGAAACTACCCGCCAAAATTTCCTTCAAACTCTCGTGGGAAATTACGTCACATGTATTGCTGTATACTAGCGTCCTCACCCGGTAGACTACTATCTACTCCCATGAGTAGCCTGTGGCAGTGACAGTGCCTGTCGTTGTTATCCGCGTAGAAACAACAGGGAATCTCTGGACGACTTTTTTGCGTTGTCTGAAGTTCTCCTAGCATGAACCAAGGATTATTTAAGTATATGGCCGAATGCATATCCAATGGATGCATGCCAGATGACCGCAGTCGCATCATTTCAGATTGTGATTCGTGGACATACCGTTGCGCTTTGCTTTTCGTCCAGCATTTCAAGTTGTTCTCGGGAGTCGGCATCGGCTCTCCGACCCTAGTATCTCGAACATATCACCTGCATTATAATTAGCGGTGAGCAAACTGATTATCATCCAGTTCATGTGTATCATTTCTCACTAAATCTCACATGTCATGGACCGACTCCCAGCCCTGCGTTTACCTCTCACACTTTGACATTGTTCAACCGTCGCCCGCCAGTAGTTGACTCGTAGATACTTGCTCCACTGACCTGGTGTTATTGGTACAGGTCACTGTGTCTTCATCACTACCACCCCCCTCTGCTAAGATGGAACCTCCTCAGCCTGCCAAAGATAAACTGCTACCAAATCCTCCAGCCCCAGTAGTGGATTTCCCCATTTCCCCAATTCCGAAGAATCCACTGGGAGAAGGACGGTACATTAAAACTGCTGCTGCGCTCATCATTGGGTATGTCCCATCCTCTGAAAGGGCACGCAACTAAAATAATGGACAAACTATAGAGATGAAATCTTGAATGGAAACACTCTGGACCGTAATTCGAACTACTTTGCGCGCTTCTGTTTTGAGAATGGTATTGAGCTGTGAGATTGAGTTCAACATATTATTTGTATCCCCGCTGATTTTCTGTACGACGATGCAGCCAGAGAATTGAGGTCATTGCAGACGACGAGCTCGAGATGTAAGTTCGTCCTTGCTATCGTCAGAAGATAGCATTAAGAAGATTTTAGTCTTGAGGCTAGCCGAAGGATGGTCCAGAAATATGACTTCGTTATCACCTCTGGTGGTATAGGCCCCACTCACGATGGTATATTACCTCGACCCCTGTTATGGCTGCCGGATCTAAACACCTCTTTTTGAGATATCACGTACGCTTCGCTCGCAAAGTCTTTCGGACAAGACCTCAAATACCACGACGAAACTCTCGCGCGTATGGAAGAAGCCAGCCGACACCGCACATGGATCTCACAGCAAAGCGAAGAGCAACGCACCGCTCGCAAACGCATGGCACTGTTTCCGGAAGCTGGCGAAGTTCTTTTTGTCGCTAGTGATATCTGGGTTGTGCGCATTGTCCCCCTCTTCACGTGGCATCTTATGCTAAGATATCATTGCAGCCCGTGGTTCGACTGGAAGGCAAACTGTGCATATTCCCGGGAATTCCATCACTTTTCCAGAAGCTGCTAGACAATTTGAAGCCTTTCTTGCCTCTACCCGCAGAAGATGCACGTCCCTTCCGGCTTCAAGTCTTTACTCCGTACGTCATTATTATTTGTGTACCGCTAGCAGATCAAGCTTCCTGACGATGATTGAAGACTTCCGGAATCGTCCATTGCGCCGTTCCTTACAACTCTACAGAAGCGCGTCAAGCCTGAGAATATCCGGATAGGCTCTTACCCACTCCTTCAACCAGGGGCACACGTTGCGCTAATTGGATTAGACCGTGAACGTGTGAAAGAGCTCGGTTTGGAGGTGGAGAAAGAGTTACAAGGTCGTATACTGAGCGCAGAGGAGACCGATGCCATGATCAAGGCAAAGAGGCAGTGATGTATGAGCGTATCACGTTACGCACTAGGGGGATAAACGATCTAGTAGTTGTGAAGGGCTCAAAATTTGGCAGGCTCCGAACTTCCAGGCTGACTCCACTGCTCCAGTTTAACCTCTCCTGCAAGAACGTCCCTGAGCAACCCTAGGGTTGCCTTCGCAAAAGCTACCATGTTCTTCTCTCTATCTGCGACACCCGTGTCCACGACACGAGTCGCAAAGCCGTCCTGAGACACGACAGCAATGCATGTTTGCCCTGCTCTGTGAGTCATTGAAGTTAACGTCGAGTCATCGGTGAGTGGAGAAATAGTAATGCCTACACATGGACAAACGGCGGTCCAGGGACGGTAGGACCTGTAGCACCCGACTCCCCGATGCAGTACGTGACACCCATCTGCTCCCTGACATTCACTGCAAGGCCTGTGACGAGTTCTGGTGTGGGTCCACTGGGCAGGACGATTAGCAGTCGATGACAATGATAAGCCACTGCGATAAACGGACTTGTAGTTCACCAAGTTTTCGTCAGTCCAGCCCGCCCAAGCCTTCCGTGACTTCGTAGTGTACACTGTCGCTCCTCCCACAAAGAACTTGCTTGCTCCAGATACAGACAACAGGGCAGCTGACACGAGACCACCCGTTGTAGTTTCTGCCACTGCAATGGTCGACGAGGTCGACCTCAAAAGTCCGGAAATCTCAGCTAAGAGAGGCTTAAAAGAGGCGGGAGGAAAAGAATAATCCTCTGTAGGCTCCATCACTGTGGCGGACAAAGCTATCAGAGATCATCAGCTGACGCGCTAGCGTGAGTGATCGTCCTCTTATAACAGCTCATTCGGAGTCGCAACTCAAATTTAGACAACAGTCACGTATGTATGTAGAAGCTATAATTACCCATCCCATTGCAGCCTGAGGATGCTACACAGAGGCTCTAATCAAATACTGCAAGGCCGCGATATCCATTTCTGCATTCCGCGGAGTGATACTGCAAGGGAATGGCAGGGGTCGCCTAAGGTGATAATCAGTATCTCCCCATAAATCATACCGGATACTACGTACACAGTGAGTCTTACAGGCCATTGTGGATTGAGCTCAATCTCTGCACCAGTTTCATCTTTGGCCTTCGAAAATTTGAAAATCGCAAGCAAGCAGGCCATTGAAGACCATAAGGAAGCTTCAGCAAGATGACGACCAGGGCAAACCCGTCGTCCAAATCCCCACACGATACTCACGGTATCGTCTGTCAGAGTACCGTCCGGGTTCAGGAAACGGTCAGGATTGAATTCAGATGCGTTTCGATATTTTTCTTCGTTGTGGCACATCGCCCTGAGAAGGATTGCGCTTCAAGATCCAAAAATTAGAGAATAATTATAATCCTTACCAAACATTCGGGATGATCGTAGTACCTGTACTTCAATCAGCATCAACTGAAACAGACGAAGAGAAACTCGCATAACTTTGGGTATGTAATAACCTTTGTAAACGTCGCTTTCGACAGCAGCATGCATGATCCCTATAATTGGTCACTGATCTGTTTCTGTTGTGCTGGTAGAGCAACGCACCGAAAGGGAACACTGGGTGCCACCGCATGCACTCGCGCAAAATGGCGTCGACGTATGGCAAGGATGAACGATCCTGGAACGTTGGAAGTCTACTCGTGCCAACCACGCTCTCGATAAGATCATGCGCTCTCTCTTGTACATGTGGGTACAGAATCATGGCAAGGATGAAGTTCATCAACACACTGGCCGTCTAGTATTGGTCAATATGGAACCAAATCACTGACTGCTTCCTGCCTACCGTCTCAGTACCACCTGTTGGGGAGACGACCTCATTCAGCCTGAGAAGATAACACTGAATGATATATATGTACTCACCACCAAAAGCAGTCGCTGCAGATTCCTTTACCGCGTTCATCTGCCAGTCTGAATTGCTGTAGCTTTTATCGAGCGCTAACAAATGGTCAGAGACCATACAAGAAGAGACACATCCTTCCGTCTGAGAAGTATCTGTGAACAAAGCACTTCACATCATGTTACACTTACTATATCACGCTTCCGTATGGGCAAATGGAGTTTCCAAGAAGTCTAACACTAATTTCTTGGCTAAAGGTGCTACTCTCTTGATATGCATTCCGGGCAGCCAAGACGGGAGGCAGAGCACTACGGATTAGACATTAGAACCTGCTGGATGGAATGGATGACAAGGCCTACAGGATGGGAAAGCATTGAAAAATACAGCCGTCACCGGTGTCATCTCCCTCATGACATCCAAGCCCTTCATCATACGCTCAATCATATGGTCATCACGGCGTGCTGCATTATACGAGTACACAGCAGATACGATAACCGAAGCTGAATACCTGAACATCGTTCAAAACCAGCGGCAAACAGATGCACGTAAACAAAATCCGGCTCACACGTCAAGGTGTGTTGCGTAGTGCAAAGGATCCTCCATGAGGTTCAATAGAAGTTCGTGGGCTTTTGTCACTTGCATAAGCCGAAAGTTGGGTATCATGTCTTGTCGAAAGGACTGGTGAAAAATCTTCCGGTGAAGCCGCCATCTGCTACTGTATCGCATGAATGCAGTATTGTACTCAAGGACCGAATCTACGATTTATGACTATCATCAGTGAGAAGAATGCTCAATGTTGTGATAGTTCATACAGTTCAGCGACTACGATCTCCGGTCGGTCAGAGTAATTCTGTGACCGATGATCGAGGAGGTCTCTTGCAGTTTCCTCCGAGTTGACAACAATTTTATCTTGACCAAATAGTCGGGTATGAACCATGTCACCTGGAAAAGCATGGGTTACTACTGGTAGTCGAAAATGGAGATTTTGCGGGACCACTTGCCGTATTGACTGCCCCATGCCTGGTAAGTAACCCAAGGCGCATCCGCATCGCTTGCCAGCGCACTGCCTAGGAGTTGGAGTGAAGTCGGACCTGGTGGCAACTGAACACCGGAGGGCAGCTTTGGTTTGGCAAAGTAACTTCTGAATGCATAACTGATCGCAATGACAGCAAAAAATGTGACAAGTCCGCCCGTAATATCAAACATAGCAAGAATGGACTCTGGAGGGTGAACGATCAGTGAAGAGGGATAGAAAGGGTCTATTAACGGTTACTTACTAGGGCTCGGCCTTTCAAGGGTCACGATAAAATTATCCGCGGCTTAGCGGTCATCGGGCGGGCAGTTAGGGCCATCAGTCCCAGTGACGTATTCAAGGACTACATTGTTGTCAAGATTCTCGGGTCATGATATGAGCACAAGTGTTTGCACATGACATAGGAAGTTCTCTGCGACCGTTAGCACTATTCGCTCAAATCAAGTTGTCTTCGACCCGATTTCCTCGGGAGAGGGCGCTCCCTTGGCACTACGTAGGGATTCCACGTGCGAAGCCATGTCGATGTGTCCACGTACGTGATTCATTCATATATCTAGTGCACTGCACTGGTTAGAATAGCTTTTATCCACGGTTCCTACTTACCGACACTCGGACTCTTCCCAATGGATCACGCTCGAACGCCGAAGGCTAGGCCGCCATTTATAACACGACACCAGTTTGCTGTCATATGAACCTGCAAATGGACAATCAGCGCTGCCCCGTGGAATCCATGCGTAAAACTCGCCATCATTGTTGGCCTGCCACTAATATGCACCAGGAAGAGTTGATGGTTGTGGATAGAGCATGAAGAACGAACACCGAGGATGCGTAGAGTAGCCCACCTTCAAGCGCGGTATATTGGCCTTCTAAGCGGCTACGGGGCATGATGGTTCAATGAAGAAAAGGACGAGCGATACAGAGGGTGAAGGATGGGTTGAGCCAGTAGTAAGTGGAATGAGCAGTACGAGGATAAGAAGGGGGGTAGGGATATGGAGACTGTGGGTGAAGTTGAGGTGAGTTCCAGCTGGTCGGAGCGATAGATGCTAGTTTCGCTGCGACTCAAATTGGATGATTGACAGAGGGCAGCAGAGCCGTACTGAAGAAGTGGGCAACAGGGGGTTGAGAGTCCTTTAGGTGGAGCGGCGCGATGAGGGGAAGTATTGAAGTGACGTTAGTGCTTGATAAAGGAGGACTGAATGTGGATCGTGTTATATGTAGCATGAGGGAGTACGTAAGGCGTGCTCGTAAAGCAGACCTCGGAGGAGTTCGAAACGATATGTGAGGGGGTTGCGCAATTGTATCGCGGGGAGTGTGAATTGGCTGTAGCTCGTCTGGATGGGTGCCACAGCTTTATCCAAAAGGGTCTCGCTCTGATTGTGATCCAAAAGAAGCCGGGGGATTGCTCCTAGATACCAGAGACTTAGCCAATCACTTAGAAGGGCGTGCATCGTCTAGTAGCAGGCCCCCACCCCATACTTGATTCTGAGGGCAGGGAATTGACGAGTCTGTTTATTGAACATGGTGCAACTTCGCGATCACATTCTGCCGACTAAATCCTGGTGGTGTTTGGTATGCCTTCTAGAGGCATCTAGGGAGATTGACAGGTTCTTGATACAGTACTTGTGATCCATACCGCTATGTCCTATGCATTCGTGAGCCATTCGTCCTCTAGTAGCTCCAAGGCGGTAGGTCGTGCGCGGGGATCAATAGTCGAACACCTCCGAATGAAAGCGGCAGCAGGCAAGATGTCTGTCTCGTCCATATTATGATATGTTCGAAGAAAACTTTCGATTGGATTAGGGAACAGATTATGAACGCGGAGCGTTCCTTCAAAAAGAATTAATATTCGCTTGTTGATGTAAATGAAAGCGTGATGTTTTACCTTGTTCGTCAAAGAAATCATTCCTGCGTTGACAACCTTCTAAAAAACTAGGAGGAAAAGGACCAATATACTCGAGGATCCGCTAGAGATGGATATTGTCCATGTTCATGGATGAGGACTCCCAGAGTTCGAATAGAGCAACACCAGTTAGATATTCGAATTGTCGGGTTTTACATCTTGAAGCTCAGGTCGTCAGTTACGGGCTCCGGTACAGATCAGAGCTAAAATAAGTACCTGTGTGTACAAGGCCGCACTTACGGTGAAGGTAATCAAGAGCAAGAAGTGTCTGTTTGACTATGCGTTTAGCGATAGGAAAAGGAAAAGCACCACGCCCATTGGGTTTCAGCCTACGGAGGCTAATCATGTTCGCCCCCGGAACGTTGGTGATGATGCAGATGTGAGGACCATGGTGACTTCTTTCGGCTACCGCGTCGTAGAGGTGTTGGTAACCGGGGTGATCAGGATTGACCGTTTTGATGGTCCTAAGAGAGTCCACCATCGCAGGATATGCATTTCTGAAATGATCATGATCTTTATAAACAGGTTCGGCAGGTACTACCACCGGATGTATTTACTACAAGGTGCGCGCGAGCCAGACGCTGGAATGACCGGCCCATCCAAATTTCCTCGCGATTTCAAGCTTGCCCTCCCCAAACTGCTGTCCCAAAATAATGGAGTAGTACCCAAAGCCTTGCTCAGGCGAAAGCATATGCGGCTCTTCGTCACACACAAATTCTTCTCCATCGTCCTTGTCGTTGATCTGCACACAGACAGACGATTCGTCCAAGTGTCGTTTAACGTTGTGAGCCATAGCCAGTGAGGTAGACATAAAAGCAAAACGAGTAAATGGAGAAATAGTGCGATGTGAAAGCTTCTGTAGAGTACTAGTGCAGCGCTTTTTCTAAATCATGCAGAAACACTGAGTAAACATATTAGATGGCCAAATAAACATCATCATCATCATCATCATCATCAGATTCTGCGCGGTGCACCTTGAACTTGAATTTCGTTATTAAACGATATCATACACACAGGTGACAGGACCACGCAGCTGCATACCCCTTCTTTTCAATCTCTGCGACGTTTCAAATAAACTTCGATGCCCGTGTTATAAAGCTGCGCACGTGTACATTTTCGAGTCTAAGGGTTTTCGACTAGCGAACTTGTCAGACACTGTCTGGCAGTGTCTGACAGTACTAGTGTCTGTGGCAGCGTTGACTTATCACAGAGTCGACGCTTCCCGCAGATAAAGAGTTCTTGTCAATTCTGTGACTTCTCGCATGACATACTCTGATTCATCAGTGGGATGAAATGTCTGGGGTTGAGCGTAGGCCCCCGCCGTACAGATCTGAGGCCAACAATAAATCTATGGGCGGCAGATAGACTGCGAGTCGCTTCTGTCCGTTGACTCTGACTCCAGGACGTTCCAAAACATCACCGCGATGTGGGTGCCACGTGCATGCTGTGGTTCCTTACTTTATACCCCACCGGGATGTTGCAGGCACTGCAGTGGTTCACGATGTCTGGCACACGCATCTTCTTACCCTCAGGTGTTAGCTTGTATCCATTCATCAATCAGATGTCAAGATTCATACCGGATCATCTCGATAATTCCATCACAGCCTTGGGTGAGGAACCAGGCCACCAAGAACACCACCAGGATCCGGGAGAGAGACAGCGGAGTGCAACAAATCGCCACTACTAGTATGTGATATATATCTCCATTCAGCAGAAATTGACAATTTCCCCGCAGGCATCTGCGCGACTGATCTCACTCTTGGTCTCTAACGGATACCAGCTGGCTTCCATGTCATGGTACAGGCTGATGGTGCTGAATGGCAGACAAGCAGCAAACCACGTAGACCAGATCGTCGTTGAATGGAATGAGCGCGTACTTTTTTAAGTCTTGCAGGTATTGAAAAGGTTCTAGGCCATGCGAGCCAACTTCCAAAGTTCGGGTCAGGGTTTATGCCTCATTTGCATTGGATCTTATACTCGGTGACGGAGAACTCCGCACAGTCGAGACCTCTGTTGGAGAGTTACTGGATCGCAGTGGAAAATCACATCGTCCGTAACGTCAGTTGTAAATCACATTTGACGGGTGTGGATGAGACATCCCAGTCATCATATTTCAGCCTAAGGGTGAAGTCGTTTCCTCGTGCACTTCACTATTCTTGGCCGTGGCGCATTATGAAGATGACTACGCAGTCTACCCCATTACTCCCGTGAGTGATCAATGCATTTGATGTTCCGATGCCGAGACTTGTAATGTGCAGTCCACATCGTCTTCTCCCACGATACCGCAGGACACAAGACAGCAGGGATCTCGACCAGTTAATAAAGCACTTCGAACGTGCCGCTGATCTCTGCCCCGTTGATCATCCCTGCCGCACTGTTTAATCTAACTGCTGCGAAGTTTATTGCTTGTCAAGCTAATGGAACATATCCCGACCTTGATTTGCGTCCCAATGGTTGTTTGGACCGACCCGTCACCCAGCTCCATCTTGTCATTGCTCTGCTGTCTCGTTTCGTGAAAGGTGGTCTCAAGCGGATGCGTGATTTTGTTGTATTGCATGAGGGCTGACAATGGGCTTCTACTGGTATTTTTCTTCTTTGCCAGCTCACCCAAACCGTGCCGACCTCCCCATCCTGCCAAGTGGTCCGAGGAAGGCACGCACTATACGAATGCGCTGATTGGGGTGCTAAGTGAAATGAACAGGAAAGTACCTTTGGTGCCAGGATCTCGGGAGCTTCCTTTGGCAAGACGTCCTTTGGGTACTTCCCACTCTGAGATCATCTTATCATCGCCCCCGCTGAGGATGTGCTTTCCGTCTATGGAGAAAGTGACGCAAAAAAGCGGGGCTGAATGCTGGAAGATAGCGATGGTTCGTCGATAGCAGTACTCGGGCCGCGGCTCAGGCCAGAGCCGAGCCAAAGCCAGCCGTCACTGGCGGCTTTGGCCCGGCCTGGATTTTTTGCAAGCCCAAGCCGTCTGAAGCCAGGCCAAAGCCGCGGCTTTCGAGCCAAGCCGGGCCGGAACATCACTAAGTGAATCACTAGATGATTCCGCCAGCTGGATGTCGTGTATTGCTTCAATCAATCATGATGTATGGGCGCTATATTTATTAGCTTCACAATGTTGACTGTTGAGAGCTAGAGAACAACGCTGTATCGTGTGTCTACGACATGGCGGGAGACGACAAGGAGAGGATGGTCTACGACGTAGGTATATATACGTAGTCGGAACTATCCGAACAATGAACGATGACGAAGGGTGAAATGCCAAACTCTAACATTGACGGCAGTGATCGGGGGAACGCTGATCCCTTAGACTGTACCATGGATGATGAAAGCCAAGCAAGGAGACACGGCCCTGCGACATAAGAGGAATGGAAATCAATAGTATTGCAGAACTTTGGTTATTAGTATTACGAGGTGCGAGTATTTGAATAATGAATCCAGGATGCCGAGCAATTACTCATACTCACATTCGTTGCAACGCATGCCTGGTCGCATGCCTCTGGGATCTATCGGAGGCAATAAGGGGGGTCGTGCTTCTATGTTCAAGCTTACAACAAGACTACAAAACTGCGTCGTAACATATTCTGTATTCAAGTGTTCGGTTTTTCCTCTATTCCAAGATCTCCATTGCTCGAGCGGCAGTGAAATTTATTCAGAAACAAACACGTTGAGCATCTCAGCAACAGACTACTAACTCGCGCGTCGTACCATCAACCACACTGAACCGATACCAAAGCAGAAACACGACTCACTGTAATTCACCGTCGCGACATGCCACTCGCTCATGTGCATAGCAGGATTAAAGGCTACCACGCCGGTGAGTCATGTAGTTCAATCCAGGATGCAAATTACTCGAACTCACAAGTATTATGCATGCCTGGTCAGCGCAGCAGGCTTTTAAATAGCAAAAGACAGGACATCCTTCATTGGCAGGGTCACTGGCAGGTATTGATATTGCAGATATTGATGCCATCAAAGCAGCAGCAACGGCGAGGACAAAGGGGTTGAAACGCATGGTTTGTGAGGACGTGATATGGGATCAACTAAATGTAAAGGGGACAGTAAAAAGACGGCTTGCTTTTTATGTGAAGAACCTATCCCCCCTTTCGAACAGATGATATCTGCAATGCCAGCAGATTGCCAACTAAGATCTACCTTGTGAGGCAAGGTTTGCTATTGGCAATTTGGCGTGGAACACAATGTCTCCTTGTGGGGCAAGGTCAATGCCAGCTCGAATCCGCTGTCGGGAACTAATACTCCCTCAAGGACCGGTGATTATCTTTTGGTCAAGGCCTCGGTGGGATCGCGTGTAATGCAAGTATTTTCATGGACTGGCTGTATCAAATGATGACAGAGGTTAAGGAGATATCAAGACATCCGTTGCATCACACAGACTGGATCGATTGCATATTGCTCTCACCGGTCCCTGGTGATTCAAAAACTCGTCTCCATATCAGCACTTAGACAGAAAACCAAGCCTATACCTAGAACACGGAAGCAGGAGAACTCGTGTTTGACGTCGGTGGTCGTCACTGAAACAGAGTGTAGACAGTATTCCGATATGGCTCTCTAGGATCTGGTGAGTAATAATATTATAAATAGTCAGATGTACAATCGTCGGAAAACCTGCTCCTGAAATCTGGCAGCTTCCAGAGCACGTAACATCAGGGAACACAGTGCCAAAGGTCAGACCGCCATGCATCGACTCTTATAACACGATATCATATCGACTGTCATATAATACATGTATCAGTACAGCTAATACTAGAGACTGGAGACTACCATCGACTCACATTTCAAAACCAGAGACTGTCGAATCCATAACGAATGCACGTGGAAGTGGTGGGGGAAGAAGTTCTGTCAGCTTCCGAATCCGATGGTAGCGTGTGCTTATGCTTCGATGAGAATAAGCAATATTATCTGATTCTATGGCTCTTCAGCCTGAGGTCTGGAGAGCGACGAGACTAAGTAGCCAGATTAGCACAATCATTGAACATGACCTTGAGTGTGCCGTCTAAGTACTGGTTAGTGGCGGAAAGTTGTTTCGAATCACCAGTTGAGAACAACATTGAAACAACACGAACTAGTACAAGTAAACAATGATCAAGTGACAGTATAAGTATGATGACTTTTGTGGCTTCATTGCGTACCACCTGCCTCCTGCCGAGTCAAGCGTGCTAAGAAGCCATTAAGCATAGCATATGCATAAGGTTTTTCTCCTCGGGAAACAACTTCAAGAACGCGTGACAAACGACGTGACACTTCAGGTGTGCTACGGAACTCCATCAGGAGTCCTAGTTCCATTTTTTGAATATCGCGGTACCTGCGTTGATCGACAATCAAGAAGCACCACGATGTAAAACAAGAAAGCCATACTGTGCTGTGAACCACGAAAACGCCTCATCCAAGATATTGTTCTTAGACAAACTGGACTTGATTGCCCGGTACGCCAAAGCTTGTAGACGTCTATTCTTCAGCTTCGGGCCTGTCAATATGTGTACTACGAAGGAAGAAAGCTGCACCGACCTTTATCGCGAGTCTGTACATTGACTTGGGAGAACAGCGCAGAGTCTCGGTTGTCATATCACGTCGGCTATGCGGATCTCCGGACTTCAGAGGGTAGAAAGAAATCTGCCCAGTGTAGCAATAGTATATGTAGGAGGCCCAGCTACAAGAATGGCTTGAATCGTGTCGAGCTGATCAGAGCAGCCGTAACTTACGTTGCAAATGCCGTGTCCCGGACTAGCACCAGTCGGGGGGTCTGCAGGAAGGGTGGAGGCAGCACGAATGTGTCTGTTGAACGGCGACCTGGAGGTGGTGTACCAGCAAAACATGTGCCCGGTTGTGGATCCACCCACGTGTCCGTGGAGTTGAGGTCTAAGGAAAAAGTCGATACGAGAGGTCACACCTGTCACGGGGAGAAGGAGAATGAGACTCACCATCGCGGTCATCATCCGAGTTTAGAGCACTACTGGTGACGGTATCAGACAGATCGTACTCAACGGCTGCCTCCTCAGGGGAATAGCTATAACGATGATGAGGCAAAGGCTTGCTAAGCGCTCCGCGTTCTTGCCCGTTCACTTCCACTCCCTCTTCTTCTTCTTCCTCGATATCGCTATCGACTCCATAATCATATTGCTCGGCATCACTGATCAGCCTAGATTCGCTCTGGTAGTGCACGAGCAAACCTCCTTTGTCAGATGCTGAAATATGGATCCGTCATCATCCATCCACCAGGCAAAATGAGAAGCCACTGACAAGGGGGAACAGGCGCGATACTAGCGCTATGGGCTAAAACTGCGCTGTTCGCATATATGAAACGTGTTTCTCCCGGAGAACTCAAAGTTCTATGCTTGGACAGGACATAGTACTTTGTGTCGACGAATGCACCGTTATTCATGGACTGCTTGAGAGCAGACGCGGTATTGGCGAGAGGGTCAGCGATAGCTTGAACGAAATTTGCTCTCGTAGTGACCGTAAACCACATGTAAGGGTGTGCAATGATAGTGGATGGCGAAAAAGAGCCAAGAAGTACGGGCGGCCCATGGCCAAAGTCAGCAATCGAGACTGTTTTTCTGTCAAAGGAAGGAGCCTCTGAAGCAGACCCATCCTTGAGGTAAACAGTCACTGTAGCAGCGTCTGTCGGCGACGAGCAATGGGTGTGATCAAAGAAAACCTTCACTTTGGCAAACGACCAGCCTTCTTTTGCGTACTGCAGCCCAAAACGCCACCCCAATCCGAACTTATCGCTGTAAACTATAGTTGTACCCCCTTCCAGGCAGGCGGCAAGGCGTTGCGCCTTAGTCTCCAACTGAAAGATCGTTGTAACTGAATCAGATACCTTCTGCATGCTGGATGAAGATAAGAGGAGGATGGTGTAGTCGTCAGATGGGTGACTATCCGTAGGCAAAATAATGCAGAATAGATTATAACGGACTTTGAAAGATATTTGTAAAAGATAATCCGTATAGAAAACATAACCGTAACACATTTGGAATAAAATAATGGGGATTTTTTTCGGTAAGAACTGCAATGGATGATCTACTACTACTGTATCATAATCTGGTGAACGACAGAGAAGAGACAGCTTTTCTTGGCGGCGAAGAGGGTGTTAGCAGCCACAGTGGTTGCTGGAATTGAGCTTGCTCGACTTGATCATATCGAAACCCAGAACCCTAGACGACTCTACCCACGCCTGAATCAGCATTCACTTGATGCTGGTGGAGCACTTAGCCACATACTCCACTACCTCAACTCCATGCACGAGACTAGCCTCCAATAAATTTTTGCATTGATTCCTGCTACTGTTTCTCGCTATCTCACTTCTGGACTGCCTATGCTCTTACAAACTCTCTGGTGTTTAATGAAAATAAATTCACTATAGCTTGAGGAACAAATGGTGCTCGCGACTTTAGACTTATAGAGAGAGAATGGTGTCAGCACTGCTCATCTTGTACCCTGGCCAGTTGTAGAGATATGTGACTGTGGGACTAGGCAGTGACTATTGCCATGCTGAAGATGTCAGGCAGGGGACCTCATGCTATGGGCATGGACTGTCAACTCGCCAGTGATTTCACATATTACAAGTTCATTTTTCGCACTGTTCCTTTATGTGCTCACCTCATTTGTGCAGATACTGCTAAAGTTCATGCACCTTGATGCTGTGGGCATGGACTAACAACTCACCAGTGATTTCACATAGCACCATCATCATCACCTATGTAGAAGTACACTATGTTTTCTGTTGTTTGCTAGCTACAAGATGAAAGACTTGTGTTTTTTTTCGCCTCTAACCCTAACCCTACATCGGGACTTTGTGAAATTTTGAAGCGCGTGCTCTGAGCGGAGCTTTAAAACGAGCTTTTCAAGCGAACTTCCTGACTCTTCAGACGTTTCAAAGCCTTGTTATTTTTACTTTGAATACCATTATAGTATGACTGGGTATGTATGCGATATCCATCCACAATGCGGTAAACAGCCGCACCAAAGTAGCTATAGTTAGAGAGCGGGTAGCAAATGCGAATGCAATAGGTATAGATGCATCGACATGAATAAACGTGATTGAAATGGTAATGGTATGAACTCTTGAGGGGGGATACAAAATAAAACCCAAAACCCAAAGTCCAATTGCACGAGGAGCGATGAAAACAAAACACGATGTACAACAAACGCGGGGACAGGAGAAAGCAATTGCAAGCTACCGCTCACCCCTACGCTCCTCAACGACGACGTCTACCCACTTCAGCAGCGTCTCTTGGAGCATAGCGTCCCACCCCTCGTCTTTGCGCGCTACGAGGCGGGGATCAAAGGTGATGGAGGGTTCGGTGGTGGGGAAGCGGATTTTTGAGGGAGAGTTTGTTGGTGTGCTTTGGGAGGGCTTGAGTTGGTGATCTGTCCGGTTGGGTGAGGAGGGTACGACTATTGGTAGGATGTATCGGATCTTGAGCGCGCTGGAACAAAGAGGGGATGTCAGGGGATGCAATATTGGAGGGGAAAATGACGTACGCAGCCCATAATCGAAGGTTATCCGTTCGTCTGAATGTCCAGCCGGTCTTGCTCTTTTCTTTTTCGTCTTCTGCAGCTTCTAGTGCTACAATGTCATGGATGGAGTCTGGTGAGATGAAACCCCAGGGTTTGCGTGACCACCGGACGCCGGTGTTGTAGGCTATGCACAAAATTTGGCCGGACGAAAGTGCGAGGAGGAATGCGTGTCTATCCGTGGCGGGTGGTAGTAATGAGCAGAGGTGTTCCGGAAGTAGGGCGCGGATGAGAGCATGGGCACGGCCTGTGGGGGATCTATTGGCTTCAGAGAGAACCAAGTAACGAAGGACTGACCTAACGGGTGTTCAGCAAAGGATCCATGCTTCGCCCACTCGGGTAAATCCTCTTCGTCCTCGCTTTCCCCCTCCGAAAGAGTTCCCATTTCGTCGTTCTCGTCCATCATCTTCAAGCTGTGCATCGAATCTAGTAGACTAGAAGATACCACCCGCCTTGACGATGGAGGCGAGGACGGAGACCGGAAAGGATCTGCGTCTCCTGCGCTAACACGCCTGTTCTTTCGGCCATCTCTCTCTTTCTTCACAGCCCTTTCGTGTTCTCGTTCCCAGCCTCTTTTACCCTCCTTCACCTCTCCAAATAACACGTCATCCACCAGGTCCACATACCTCCGCACCACTTCCTTCTCTTTCCCCAAGTCAGCCAGTGACATGTCCTGCTTATATAGCCAACCCCCGCCCAGCACTAAACGGTCGTCCCAGTGATCCCTCTTTTCTTGTTCTTCTTCGCTCAAAGTCGAGTCATAGTAGTCATCCTCCCACACCGGCACGGATTCATCTCGACCTTGTACATGGACGAAGGAAATTGACATATCTGGGTCTATAGAAAGGTCAGGATCGTGATCATGAGACGTATCTGATAGAGCAGCGGGAGATGTCACACGCGAATGTGGAGTAGCAAGGTGGTCAGGAAAGGATCCGTGGTCGCTTTGTACATCATACGCCTCGTCTGAAAGAGGTACACGTGAGCGCTCTTCCAGTTCGCGAAGAGCAGCCAAGACTTCCAATGCAGACTTGCGGATGAGTGAGAGGGGATCTGCCTGGGCTTTCTGTTGTGACGCGTTCCGTTTGGGTTGGGGTGGATTTGCGGCGACTTTGTTGCGGTACTGGGTGCGGATAGTCCCAGCGGAATCGTCTGGTAATGCGATGACGTAGTTGCGCACTGAACGAATGGCGCGCGTTGTGATCTTGAGTACGTTGAGAATGTCCAGGCGATCCCGAAGAGGATCGGAAGAGTGTGGGCTAAGGAGACCAAGATCACGTCTTGACTTGTCACTCTTGCTACTTGACAAGCCCCACGCGTCTGCAACAGCCATAAGGTCTTCTACGACGCCTGGAAGGAACGCTTCAGGGTCTGTCTCATACGTCTTCACAAATGGAGGGAAAGCCGGCTGCTGTATCTGTGGGATAGCTGGTGATGGAGGCAACTCGAACTCCAATAGACTGCCCAAGGACGCTTTGGCAGATCTGGCTGCCGAGATTCCACCGATGGCTGGGATAAGCTGCTGGCCGTGCAACTTCTTGGATGGACTTGACATGGTATGAGCAGAAAGTCGAAGACAGAAAGAAACACGCACTTTGACCTGGGAGTTATGCCAGTCTTTGTAAAATAGTGCTGAAGGTGTTCTATGCTTCCAAGTGTCATGACACTCTGACGCTTTGCCGCGCTTCTGCTAAATGGCTTGACTGGTTTGTTGGCAGAGTTCATGTTTGGGTAGAATGCGGTTTGACGACGCGTTTTGTTGACTGCTGCATCCGAATGATTTGATGAGTCTGGTGAAGCTGAGCCAGTATAATCCGGCGTCAAGGCTGGTGGTGTCAGGGAAGGAGAAGAAGCCATGTCGAAGCGAGCTAAGTAGCGCTCAGGAAGAGGAAAAGGAAAGTACAGAGGGGTCGAGGTGCTTTTTGGGGGGTCGAGTCATTAATGATATAGCAGTCGAACTGCGATGATCTGGAGGATACATGGCCCATCCAAAAGACAAGTACTACTGGACTCAACTAAGAGCTGCTCTAACAGCAGGTCAATGGTCTTCTCCTGCTCCAGCAAAAGCTCAAAATGCTGTTACATTATCTTGGTTTCATCTACTCCGCAAGTTCAACAAACACTGTAAAGGCTTTCAAGACGTAGCAGAGGTCGTATCACAAACTCAAGCTCTATGTTTGCAACTTGGAGCGAACGCAAAGGACCCAGGACCAGCTTGGTGTAGAATATGATGACCAGCTCGATCTTGGTGACGAGTGTCTATTACCATCGGAGCGGATAGAGGAGGCTAGAGGAGGCTATGAAATATTAACGAGTCTCAACAGCAACCATTTCGATGTAACTTGCCCTTTTTCTGCATTTCCCGCGCTATACTGAGCATGGTCACATAGTCTCTTCAGCTTGCACTTGCGTTCTATGCGTATGCCTTCGGACAGTTCTCGGAATGCATCTCCTACTTGTCCAAAGTACCGAAGCTGCTTGATGCACAGAGTCATATACCTCCACCATCTACAACTCGTTCAGATAATTCCTGCGCTTCAACTACCTGGATCACTTCGCCGACACTTCATCCTCATGGACCGGCAGTTTTGTTTCCGCCGACTCTTCTGTTTCGATAGCTGATATCAAGGATGGGAGAGCTTGGGCAATCACCGAATCAATAAGGAGCACGTGCTTACAAGGTATGTCGTTGCAGAATATTTCACCGCAATGACACCCAAGCCCAATAGGCATGTGCTACGAAAAATTGTCGGATCCCAAGAAAGCAATTCAAGCCTACTCATCCGCCCTCCCACTTCTCAGTATCATCGAGTTCCAGATCCCACGGACATTCACCACCACACACACATTTTCCGCTTCATTCGCCAACTACCGCGAGCTATGGCGTTGGACAGAACGTCTTATGTTCAGGACCATCTCTCTCCTTTCCCGGTATTGCTGCCTAGATGACTACGACAGCCTTCTTTGGACCATGTTCACCCATTACCATGCTTGCAGCGCCCACTGGCCGCCGACTTTCCGCACAGGTCACCGCTCAACAGTCGCAGTCCTTCACCTCCGAGCTCTCATCATCCGACATCAGACATCATCATCTACAACCACCCCTAATTTGTCACTTCAGTCAACTAAACCACCCCAATGGCTAAGTACTGCTCGTTCCGTTATAAATGAATATCGCACAATTTTAGCAACTTGCACTAGTTTCCCCAAGGCTGGAGAACGTAACGTTAAAGTGGAGGATTTCGTAGACCTGTGCGTGGCGGTGTGGGAGACCAGTGGAGCCATGGCTGATCGTGTTCGTTGGGTCCTCGATGTAAGTTGCGCTGGCTGGAGCTTGTTCAGTGCACTGACGCGACATAGGTTCTCTGGTGGGCTACCCGCCTCACCTTCAACTCATACCGTGTCTATCGACACATGACACGACTTCTTTCCATTTCCGGCGACGCGGAGCTGGCGAAACGAACCCTGAGGTTATACGTCCAGGTCGTTTCAAAAGCACGAGAAGCAAGGGTGGATAATGATTTCGATACGGATCGACATTGGGTAGAGACGTTGGTCAGTGGTGCGCGGATGCTCTGTCGTCTTGCTATTTCGCGCCCGGATGGTATCGATGATGCCAAGGAGGCAGGGGAGATGATCGAAAAGGCAAAACGAGGCTGGATGAGGATGACAAGGAAATGGTAGCGAGAGTCGCATTGGCCGAAGGGGTGTGGTACACAACACTGGCAATAATAGGTGAACTTCCTCTGATGTCTCTGTATTCGACGACTAAATTTGCCACTCAGAACAAGACCCCTACACGCGACAGACTCGTCTAGGTCATGCCCTCGCCGCATACCTGAAGTCTGTTGGAACCTACCCTACACCTGCAGCGCATCATCAGCTCGCGATCGCACTTGCCTTACCCGGAAGCTCGCAAAATTTGGACGAGGCCATCATATCAGCTCGCGCAGCCGTCGAAGACGAGGCAGAGGAGATTAGGCATTGGCATCTTCTCGGTCTGTTACTAAGTGCTAATGGCGAGTGGGAGAGGGCGGTCGGCGTTTTAGAGGTGGGCGCAGACCTAGACGAAAGTAAAAAGGATTTGGAAAGACTCGACGAGGACGACGTCGTGGAGAAAGCACCCATGGCTGATGGTATCCAGGCTAAAGACTTCGAGACCAACCAGCAGCGTGCACAAATAACCGGTTCTTCAATGCTTCCAAACCCACATCCACCACTGAATGGTGTTGATGATCCAACATACGAGCCCAAGAGGCTCCTTGACACCCACGCAACTACTCTGCCACCATCTGCCACCCTCCTCCGACCACTACCCGACCATCCATTCCCTTCTCCACACGACGCATTCGAATACGCCCTCCAGCTCCGAATGACACAAATGGCACTCGCCGAACACATCGAAGGCCCCGAAGGAGCAGAAGGACGATGGGTGAACGTATTCAGCTGGATCGCAGAACGCAAAGGATCCCCGTCCACTTCAGGATCCATGTCAGAGACGCAGCGTGAGTCTAGAAACCCAACCCCCTCTATTCATAATCCGACTTCGGGCTGTACGGAGCTGATTTTTTCTGGTTGTGGTTTACGTGGATCAGCGAGATCGTCTATGGATACCGGCGGTACCGAGACGGGGAGGACTACGACTACGCGATCGCAGTCGGTGGTGCATCAGCCGTTGCAGGAACCACTGAATGAGAAGGGGCTGATTGTGGACCAACATGGATCGCTGGGTGTTTCTATTGGTGCTCAAGATCTCGCACCATCGGAGCTTCCGCCTATCACTGTGACGCCTGCAACGCCTGCTGAGCCGAATCGCCATTTTCCGCTCAGTATGGATGAGAAAGAATCGTTGAAAGACAGACGCTCCGCTTCAGCAGATGGCGCTGGTAGGAAGGTGCAGCAGATGCTGAAAGCCCGCGTTCATAAAGGACAGGAGAAGATCAGTACTATTTCGAGGAAACTTGGGCATGGCGTGGCGCGGAATGGACATTTGAAGAGGACGAGCTCTGCACCAGGTAAACAACCTTTCTTTTTCACCAGGATGTCCTTTTCACATTTTGTTCTTAGACTTCCATGCTGTGCTACAGAACCATCACTATCAAGCGTCTTCAATTCACTCCCGTCGTAGGCTGCGTTCTTTGATCCGTCATAATGCGGCTGCCACACCGATCGAGTCACCTCCTGCCCCACCTGCCCCACTTCCCCCGGTGCCAGAGGAAACACCTACGCTCCACGCGACGAAGGACGACAGGCTTTTAAGCGACCTTTGGGCCATGTCTGCTGCCACTTTCCGACGTCTTGGTAGAATCGAGCAAGCCAAAGGCGCAATCCAAGAAGCAGAAGTCAAAGACTCTGAAAATCCTGCTGTTTGGGTCCAGGTGCGTATATAACACATCTTCCACCAGGGCATCCGCTAAATATCAAATAGCTTGGTCTATACTACGTGGCGCTAGATCGTGACAGAGAAGCTCTAGACGCATTCCGAAAAGCCTTGTTCATCTCGCCCGATGATGTAGCTGCATGCGTGCACGTATCTCGCATCTACCTCTCCACGAAATCTTCCACCGATGCGGTCAGCTCAAATAAAGCTGATCTAGTCGCTGGCCTTCTAGGGCACGTCACAAGAGGACCTGGCTGGGACGTTCCTGAGGCGTGGTATTACTTGGCTAAGGCATACGGGCTACAGGGGCGCAAGGATGAAGAGCGGGAAAGTCTGGCGACGGCGTTGGCGTTAAGCGATCGGAGGAGTATTAGGGATATTGGGAGGGCTGTGGGGTGGTGTTTGTGATGGTGTTCATGGGTTGTATGGGCAAGGTTTGGAGTTTGATTTATATAATGTCTTCGAGGATGTCTACCTAGTGCTGACTCTACGTGACGGTCATAGTTATCGACTGGACTTGAGCTTTTGATCCTAATTCAGAGGTTTGCGACGTTTTGGGATATCCTCTATTCGTACCAGCCACATTATTATGTTTCGACGATTGAGTAGATCCGAGCACTAACACATCCCATGGGGACTCCGGTGCCTAAAGGTTCGAGCATCCAACACATGCTGATATGACTCGAGCTCCCGCAGTAGTGTGCGTCCACGCTCATATGTAACGTACCTAGTACAGCTGAGAACTGAGTGCGCAACTACTCGCCAGTGCACCAATACTAGCTGACCACCTGCGAGCATCCTCATTGTGGTGTCCAAGCACAAACCAAGCAAGCTATTTGTCATTGAGTCTGAAGAGCGGAAGTGCGAACCGAGTTGGGACCGAGGACCATTCATTAATTCGAGTGAGTTTCGTGATTCGCAACCTGCTCCCCACTCAAAAAATGCACCCAAGTAATGTCCTCATGAATGTCGACGGTGATCAGACGGATGTCCGTGCCCAACCTTCAGGTTCCGACGCGCAAGCCCAGCCGGCTGGTCCAGACTGTGATGGAGGGGAGCAGCCCACCGACTCATGTCCTCCTCGAAAGAGGAAGAATGTACAAGCGGTCACAAGACGAGAAACACGGAGGAGTCCTATAAAGTCGTCGAAGGACAGCTGGCTGGCCACATACAACTCGTGACTGTGTGGCATGCTGTAGGCCATTCGGTAAGTCTCTAACCGTTCGCTGTATTTCTGAGACTTACGGTATATTAGAAAGAGAGCGCTGTAGTCTCTCCAGACACAATTCGAAATTTCTCTGTAGCGTCTACAATAAGCAAGCTCCTTCATCACTGAATAGAAGGTGGCTTGCCATGACCTCATGTTGATTACATGTTGTCGTCTGTGTTTGAATGGCTTGGTATCGCGTTGCAGCATCGAGCACATTTTTCGTCAGAGTTCCAGCACATAAACTTTTAGACTATCCCCTATCATTTCATGATCAAGGTTTGGAGGAATAAATCACTATGTCGCAGGATGTATTATACATTGGCAGAAGTTTCAAATAAGAAATTGCATGACTGAAGCATACCCTAGCTTGCAAGCGAAAGTTATCGAAGCTACAATCAGTGATGCGTGGCATCAGCTGAACTACAATCTACATCAAAACTGGCGCATCTCAAGAAACCTTGAAGTTGCTTTGAAGTGTACACTATTATACGTGTATATTGTGATTGAAAGTTCAGCCATCCTAGTCTCCGTAGTCAAACCATATATAAGTGCAACAGTGATTTCATGAAGGGTTCAACGCAGTCAGATCGGCGGATGAACTGTACAGTCGGCTGCAGAGAAAATCAGAGGAAAATGTTCGTTTGTGTCCGATAATGACCCTCCCCCACTAATGTGGGAGTCAGGGAAGTACTTATCATCATTGGGGGGGGGGGGGTTAATCTAATCTATTCTAGTAGAGGATTGGGATGATACAATTGGTCAAGGCAAGACGCGACTAATAATTTGGCAATTCTCGTTACAGATAGTGATCTACTGGCATACACCCGGCTATCCGCAGACGGACAATGCTCCTTCTGTTGGGTTTCTCATCTCCCCATCTCTTCACATCACGTTCAACAGTGACCCTTCACAGGAGCCGTAACCGGAACATTAGCCGGACAATAATGAGGCCCATCCATTAAATGGCCGTCGCTCTGATGCCATCGCTAGCATGTCAACCGAGAACAACGAGCTGCATAATATCCAGAAAGTACTTACGGTGAGAAACTGACACTGCACTGTTTGACCGTCGATCTTAATGCCATGATTGTAACTGTCAGCCTATCAGTTACTTTTTTCAATGAAGACGTGTGGGTGCGACGCACAGGCAACCTGTGACCGTGCCTGGGGTGGTCGTGGTTAGTTTTATGGCTTTTTTGTCGACCATCACTGTATTTGGGCATTTTATACACGCATTTGCGCCAGCGAGGAAGCTGAGTAGCACAAAGATGATGGAACGGGAAGTAAACAAATTGGGGTTTCTGGAAGAAAATGAGGTAAAGTCATAGTAGCAGGCAGGTGTTTTATAAGCTGAAACTTGTGAACGTAAAGGCTTTGCTGCTAAGATATCAAATGCCCTACTTCAGGCGAAAACAGTTGAGCCAAAATTCATGATGATCTCCACAGACTCGAGAAGAACTATGAACCTCATGAGAAGCTAATGTAGAAAGAAAGGCGATGTGTGGCACAATGGGGTGGTGCAGCACGAATGAATCTCCGGTTCCCGGGCGGCCTTGCCTTCGCGTTACTCATTAGATATATATGTGCACGTTCATCGGACGTTGTAACGTCCACACAACACTCACCGTAATATCACCATCTTTGAATCGATGAAGCTCAGCACGGACGTCCCATAGATGCCAAAACCCTGCGTAACGTTTGAGTTTTGGTCTTCCGCAGAAGGTTCGTGGCAAGGGGTACCAGGCTGAAGTTAATGGCTATCGCTTGGGTGTGGTTGCCAAGACGTAGCGGCGCTTACGCTTCAAGTCCCCGAGTCCTCATTGGTTGAGCATCATGAGGCAACTTAAGAGGATGGCATGAGTGCACCAGTATATTTAATGACTGCTCACCCACCCGTTGAATACCGTCACACAAAAGCGTACGTCTCTAATCACCTCGTCGTATATATAACTTTAATCGCAGAGCGTTAATATTGCAAGGATGTAGGAAGGGAAACTGGCTAGCCCATGCGCTTACAACAGCACCATGTTGAGAATACCAGCTGATGGATAGCGGAACGGTTGCAACAGAGAACGTCAAGCCAAAAGCGTCGACAACAGAAACCAAACAGCATCGTCTACAGAAACCAGGGCTCTCGCACACTCTGAGTCTATGGGAAAGCGTTCAACCCAGTCGGATCTATAGAGCGTGCATCCATACATGCCATGACCGCCCAGCGTGATCAATAGCTAAAGCCTTTCAGCCACAACTTGAAGCTGGAGCTACAAGACTTGTTCACCCAAGTTTCGTTACATAAGTAAATGACCTGGAATTTTTCCTTGCCACACAAGGACTTAGTCAGCCACAATTCAACCCGTCCATCCGTTGTCCATCAATGCATCATAGTACACGAGAATGCCGCCCCTACACTTAATGAAGATTCAACTCCCTCCGTTTGTACATTATTCGCACAGATTCGTGTTGCATAGCGCCATCTAGACCACCATGTTTTCTACTGCAATCCTCGTCACGCTGATGCCTGGTGACCTGTGCATGATGGGACTATGGTTTCCCAGATATTGTTGCAGGGGATTCATAGTCACATTCATAGGTTTATTTTGACATTTAGAACATGCATGGTTCATAGCTCCTGTAGCAATTTTGACCGTGACTCGACAATTGTGTAAGAGTTTCAAGCATTCAGAGTCGAAGTACTTGAACCTCTTACACGTACAACCACCAATCTGAATTGGATCTCAAACACAACGGTGGAGAACACATGACTTCATTCATCTTCTCTGCTTTGTGCTTTCATACCTATTAGACCTGTCTATTCCCACATCGCCTTGATAATCGCTGTCTGTCATGAACGTTCGAACGGTGTTGGTTGGTCATAGGTTGTTTATTTTTCAAGCGCCGTGTCACTGACCTTGAGCTTGAGTGCTAGCGCCCACTAGTAAATGAATTGTGAACGGCGGAAAATTCTCGGTTGCTTTTGAAAACGGCTATCTTACTTCTTCCAGAATCCAAATTATAGGTCCAGGGGAGACTGGGGTTTCCCTACTACAATGATGCACATTGCACTTACATGACGCAGCCGACCGACATCATAGTATAGAAGAAACCACTGTCTTCTGTCATTCGTCTATGTTGTGTCTACTACAGTCTAGGGTCCTGGCGTCAAAACTCCGGCAGGCGCGGCACGATCCTGCGGCCCACTGGCCATGTGAACACCTCTCTCACGAATAGTTATCTACTACCTTGTCTGCAACATGGGCGAACGCTAGTTCCCATTCAGTCTTCCCTTGCACCCGGCCATGACTGTCGTTGTCGACAAAGCTTTATATGACTGAGCAAGGGTACATCACTGTCCCAGGTCTTATTCCTCCAGAGAAATTTGAAGCCCTCAAAGAGGCCTGTGACCACGCCATAGCCAAGACCAGAACCGGGTTGTGGCCCCACCGCCGCACTGTCGGAAGGCAGTTTCCTCCTTTCGACGACAGCAATCCGGATTCATGGGGCGTCCAACACGTCATGCATCCCGACCTTAGCGAACCCGCATTTGCGGAGTGGTACACCTCGGATGCGCTCATTAATGTTTCGAAGGAGTTATTGCATTGTGACGAGAATGAGCTACAGATGGGTGCGTTGAATGAATGGCTGGCGGTTTGGTCGGGCTATTGACGCATTCGCAGAGCTCTTTAACCTCTTGATTAACCCATTGGAGCATGATTTTGCTCTTCGATGGCATCGTGATGATGTTCGAGAAAATGCGACTGCTGAGGAAGAGGTTGCGGCTCTTGGCCTCTGGACGCATGGAGTGAGTACTTGCTGTTGATAACAGGTTCGCTCTAAATGATTGCCAGATCCAATGGAATGCGTGGGTACTCTCTGCCTTCCAGGGTAGCCTTGTTGATGGTTTATGCGAATCGTCCACAGTGCTTTGTACGAGGACTCCTGTCTCTACGTGATTCCGAAGACCCATAAATTACCGAGAACGGAAGTCCAGCGAGCTCAGTCAATGACGCAAGTACCACCTACAAACCCTTTAGATATGCCTGGAGCGATTCAAGTCACCTTGCAACGTCAGTACATGAAAGCCTGTTCCCCCGCAATTTCCACTGAGCCTAGATATTTTAGCCGGCGAGACGGTGTTTTATAATTCCAATATATTACACTGTGGAGCATATAGCTCGAAACAACGCCGCGCGACACTTCATGGATGCATGGGCGATACGCGTGGTGGATCGACGAGAGCCCGCAATGTCCTCCAGCATGGATTATTTTGGATGACTGAGGACCACTTCCGGGATCAGTTGACTGAGAGAGGGAAGAGGATGCTCCAGGCTCTCATTGATATGAAAGAGGGTGTCAAAGGCGATGTCGGCTATTCTCAAGTGAACTAGAGATGAGTGACAGATACCACGGATTAAAGTATGTGATTTTGCAGGTATCTTGTGTTTGGTTTTTGCGTCGAACGTAAACCCTGTCGATAAACCATATTTTCTTGATGAGACCATCGGGCATCATGGCGACGCAGTACCAAGTATGCTCGCATGATCGATGTATACTGTGTGGCATGAAACAATGGAAAGTCATGACTCCGAGGGTCGCAGAGGAAAAACAATCCACAGACCTGTGAGTACCCTTATCGGGTCCAGGGAAAACAACGGAAGGTCAATTACAATGTAAGGCCCTAGCAGGCTCTGTCACACTGAACAATGCTGTTGCTGTACGGTGGGTGGTGGGCACTACGCTTTGCCACCAATTGGTGGCCTTAGTGCCTGTTATCGAGGCCTATAAAACCACCCCATTTCAGACTGAATGATTACAGAACTAACTGGAGCCCACGAGATAAAAATCCCTTCCTCCAATCCTAAGCTAAATTCATCATGGTTCGTGCTATTCACGATATTACTTATTCACTTACCGACATCTTCCTGCACAGGGCTCTGTCATTTCTGCAATCGCCTATTGCACCGGTGTTGTCGCCTTGGCAATAATCGGAGTGATCATGGCCATCGTTTGCACCATCGCAATCGTTCGTGCATTCTCATATTTATTCAGTCTTCTCCTGATAAGTTGATTCTCATGGAAAACAGATCATCGGCTCAATTGTAGACATCATCCTTGGCATTCTGTGTTGCAGATGCTTCTGGCGAACAAGGATAACAATATATAGTTCCAGAAGCTATGCTTGATACCACCATTAGGTATGACTTGTACATATTTCATATCGCATCGATGCATCGGACACCCGTTATTTACAGCACATATAATGTCGGAGTGTTGAAATACATGACGTGGGTTAGCTCCTGCGTGGCATTCCCAATACTCAGAGGGTCGACGACCCGCCTGCACTGCAGACTTTCTGTTGTAGCGGCGTGTGTGACAAGACTTGAACACAGCACTTTGCTTGGTTAACCTAATTCAGAGGCTCAGGTTTGTGAGGTTTTGAGATATCCTCTGTTCACTCATGTTGTTCGCACCAGCCACATTATGCTTTGACCACAAGACTCCCATTCCGTCTGAGCACTAGCGCATTCCAGAATATAGATGGGGACGCTTAGATTCGCGCTTGAACCCCTCCTGATGGTGTTCAGCGATTTGTATCATACTGACATTCCGTGACTATTCTCGGTAAGTACATTCCTCGCTTACTAGTAGTAGGGTTGATCCTGGTTAACGTTGTTGATCTAAATGTGAGTCAACCCAATAGAGAGCAAGTGCCTATAAATTCAAGGGGTCTTGAAAGGATTACTTCTGAATCTCCTTCTAATAAAGAGATCTACTGGATCAGCGGAACTTGATCATTAATATCATTCATAGGAATCAACACGAGTACCAATCTCTCCCGCGAGATTCACCACCATACTCGTGATGGCTACGTCCTGCAATCCTACGCCTACGCTCTTGAATATAGTAATTTTACCAGCCCGTCTTACCTCGTCGCACAACGCGTGAACCTTCCTGTAGTCAGCATCCGGTGAGTCGTTGTCAAACCGGACGAGTGTTCCAATTTCAACCATGTCCTCTTCATTAAACCTGGCCTTTATGAGCTCCCCAGCCTCAGACACACATGCTTCTCGGGAGTCCACGACCACTTTTCCAGCCTGATGCAGCAAATCTGAAGAGACTTCCGCCATTTCAGGCGTGTAGCTCCCAATGAGATTGAGATGTGTCCCTGGAGAAACCCATTTCGCTTCAAAAAGCGGCTCCTTTGAAGACGTGGCGGTGCATATAATATTGGCTGCACGGGTAACTTGTTCCAGTCGAGCAAGGTCCTCCTTCAATATAAGAGACTGAAATATGACCGTCGGATGAGCTGATTTTAGGCGGGTGATAAGATCAGTCAGTCTTTGATTGCTTGACTTGTTAACTATCGTGCAGGTTTTGATGGTCGAATAGGCACGAAGGTGGAGATCCACGTGCACCTCAATTTGCTTGCCTGCTCCGAAAGCAAGGAACGTGCTTGGGTCTGGAACGGACAAGAGAAGATGCGTAGCAAGCAGAGAACCTGATCATGCGTATATTCATTAATTTCTATGTTTGTTTATCAAAATGAAATGAAGCGCACCAGCAGCTGTCCGAAGAGCCGTTAATTGCCTCGCGTTCACGATCGCACGTATGCTGCCCGTGCTTTCGTCCAAAACAAGGCTGGACGCAGGAAGTCCGCCTTGATTAGCGGGATCGCGCGGAACTGAGACCACCTTGATGCTGGTCCCCAATCCCTGCACTCGAGCGGGCATGAAGATTGCATCATACTGCGCCATAGCAATCGCTTCACGCAGCGGGGCATCGAAGCCGGAATCTGAGGAAAGGGTATGGAAAACGAAAGCCATCAGATTCTCAAGCCTGGAATGATGGATCGATGATACAATTCTGGATACATCTGCAGCGGTAATGACGAGGAAAGACATTGGATACGTAGCTGAAGGTGCTTGAGTAATAGTTGATGCGGATGGTCAGAGACACCAAGATCAACAAGCGCAATTGGAATCTATCAGCTTCTGATTGCAGCTGGCGGAGTCACATGCAACCAGAAAATAGCATAAATGTAACGACGCTCGACTGCGCCAGTCTCCAATTATACCGCTCCTTGCGAAACTACATTTTATGATACACCAAATTTCTGGCCGAATCAATAGCTGTAGCGCGCCGCGCCAACATTCTTCCATGCATATCAGTACTAGTGGTCTCCCCTAGCCAGACGAAAATAGAAGGAGGAAAGTCGTTCCTTCTCGATTATGGTCCAGCTCGAACTTCATAGATCACAATCTACCACGACTGGTGCTGTCGGATCGGCCAGCCGATAGTACTCCCGAGTCCCCGTGACTTACGTCAACGGGTCCGCTCCTCAGGCCTCAGGCTCTTGTCACGAGCGCAGCCCTCTAACATTCAATAACACGTCAGAAAAACGGGCAACACTTTTTTACATTTCGACAACAAGCAAACCGACACCTCAGTCGTTGGAACACGGCCAGCTGATGGTCTGAACAGTCTGTCAGGTGACCTTTTTCCAGCATACAGACGTCGGTGTTCCAGGTTCCTTGTTCTTTACTTAGGTTTCTCGTCATCGCTTCTCTCTTCTTTCTCTCACTCGAGCCATCGAAGTATTTTTATGCCTGAGCTGGATGGCTGAGTATATTTCATCATCAACAGACGGCTGAACATTTGATTTTCGACAGAACCCTTTACCGAGTCTACCCACGTAGTACGTGGGTTTACCGTGGCCTTTCCTGACCTTTCGGTGCGCTCAGATCTGATGCATGCAGTACATCATATCATATATCGGGTCAGCTACTGCCAGTGGAGACTAGTGGCATGATTGATTCTTAGATTGGGGGTGCTAAACTTATGTGTGTGGTTCAAATGTCTTTGTCGTGGAACAAGACTAATACCCTGGGTTCTTAAAGCAAGCATTGGACTATTTAGGGAGACTGATTTGCAATGTCAACCTGCGGTAACGATCTGATTTATTGTCATCAGGTGTGCGTTCATATAATATTCACTCTGGCCTTAAAAGGCATTGCACACTGCACATTGACGATGCACCTCAGACCCCGTCAAGGTTCGATTTTTTCCGACCATGCTACAGCTGGCCGACTCGCAATTGTCCAATCAGCTCCTCGTTGGCGCAGGTTGTTTGACTGCAGCGCTGATTTCTCGTGTCTATCTTTCCGCTACAAAGACCGGCCTCTCCTCTCCCCCATCCGTTCCCACTTGGAGACCCCTCGGGCATCCCATAGTTTCTGACAAGTAAGCGTCAATGTTCCTTCTCATTTCGAATACTTATGGTGTCGCAATGTCATCAAGCCCATGGCTGAAGGTAGAATCATGGTTTAAACAATACGGCCCTATCATCACTCTACGCTTAGGACACAAGAAGTTGGTTTTTATTGGTGGTTATAAAGTATGTCTAAAGGATAGATGCTGTGTCGTAGTCCAGCTAACGCATTATAGGCTGCAGTGGACATTATGGAGAGACAAGGCCAGTCGACTGCCGACCGCCCTGATTCTATTGCTGCTGGGGAGCTGCTCACTGGTGGATTGAGCCTTCCTTTGGCTCACCATGGCGACAGGTTTCGTCGAATGCGCAGGTTCGTCCTTTGCTGCTAGGCTATGATGCGAAAATTAATGACCCTGTTTACTCTTCGATGTAGAGCGATGCACACTCATCTTCAGCCTGCAGCAGCCGCGGCATATCATCCCCTGCAGTCGGAATACGCAAAGAAATTCGTCATGGGTCTTCTTGATGATCCACACCATTTCGAGGAGCATGCGCGAAGGTAAATCTCAGGTCATATACAATGGTGGGTGGCTCACTAGTGGACTGAAGTTACTGCAGTAGCAACGAGCATGAAAATTGCATATGGAAAGACTACACCTACCTCTGTGTCGGATCCTGAAGTTATTAGGGCTGTTGAGGGTGTCGATATGGTCCTTGCTGCACTGAAACCTGGCGCGTATATGGTGGACATTATTCCTTGGTTAAAATACATTCCTTGGTATGGGCGCGAACTACGCGAACACTTCCGGGGCACCATGCGGCTCTTCTCTCAGCAACTCGGCCGTGTCGAAAATGAGCTGGTAAGTGTTTCCTATCTAATCTAACAAATCCTCTGCAACGTTCAACAGAAGGAGGAAGGTAGCAACGCCAGTCATTCGTTTGGAAGATACCTTTTGGAAAATCAAACTCATCACGGATTGTCTGAGGACGAGGCGCTGTTTCTCGCTGGTGTATTTTTTGCAGCTGGATTCGACACGGTGAGTTATCGTGCATCACTACTTTCGATGAATGTAACTCAAGTTACATGTTAGACTATGGTTGTGTTATGCACAATGATAGTGGCAGCTGCTCGTTTTCCTGAAGAACAACGTAAGGTTCAAGACGAGCTGGATGCAGTCATCGGGAGCGACAGAGGTAGGTTGATCGCCGGTGTCGCCTCAGTATTAACCCACGACCTTACTCGCAGCACCCACTTTTGCCGATCGGCAATCACTTCCCCGCGTTGTTGCCTTTATTTCTGAGACTCAGAGATGGAGGCCATTGGTACCTATGGGTAATTACGTCCCGTTCTTCTACCTGACGTCCGCAGCTTATCTATATGAAGGAATGCCGCATAGCACGACCAAGGATGTGATTTGGGTGGGCGGACTTCTTCAGCTTGTCGAAGCGAAGTTACGGTACTGACAGCACAAACAGGAAAATTATATTATTCCAGCTGGGACAACGGTATTCGGCCATCAATGGTAAGCACCCCTCCCTTCCGAGAAGCACGATGAATCTGATAGCTGTCCCAGGAGCATCGGTCGGGATCCAGAAATCTTCCCAGACCCTCACACATTCAAGCCAGATCGTTGGCTTGATGCCGAAGGACGCTTCAGAGATGATCTCAAGTTCTTTCCCTACGGGTTTGGCCGGCGGTAGGTATCATCTTTGTACGGTTGGTTCATCCTTTGATCGTCTTTGGTTGCAGTGCGTGCCCTGGACAACACGTTGCAAATAAGTAAGTGTCTACCGTTCATCCCGAAGCCGCTATAAACTTGTGGCATAGTTCGCTTTTCGTGAACACGGCGCTTATGCTTTGGGGCTTCCGGTTCGCGAGGGACCCCATGAAGCCGTGGCCAGATATGAGTTACATGCAGGGTATTCCGCCAGAGCAACTGCGGTGCAAGATTGATATCCAACCGCGGCTTCCGGAAGCTAAAATCAGGCGTGCGATGGAGGACTATCCTTCCTACGATAATATGGTCTGACAACTACCAGAAAGTGCGGGATTTGGCCAGTCTGTGTGAAGTCTATACAGACTGGACGCAAACTCCGGGGACAAGTCTGCCAGTGGTTGTTCGTTACATAGCCATTGATCTTTACTATTACATCCCGCCCGCTGCCAGCCTATCCCGCCGTAGCCTTTCACTGGCACTTCCTGCAAATACGTCCGCGTTCGAAGGATCTTCCTTCTATTAAATTCTTATTGTCTCAATGTTCACTCGAAGTCCACAAATCACATTTATTGGTGTCCGTCTCCCACGTTGCCCGCCGCCGCCTTTTTCTACATGTCCTCAACAAATATTGACCCGTGTATGAACCAGCCGTTCTGGGACACCCGGGAACATCCAATTCCAGAACGAAACCGTCCTGGCTTATACTTACACCGTGGGTGGGTCTATTCATGTTCGTCAGGGTTTGCCTAAATTGACCCGTCGGAATATGAAATATGCTAATAGCCTATGTGATATACACCACTCACCATGGTGTTAGGTCCAGATTCGTCGCGCATTGCTGTCATATCATGGAAATGTGGAGTATGGCAATTTGGGGGGTCATCTGAAATTGTAAGAATCAGTAAGATCCTTCTCGCTCCAAGATGCTGAATAACTGGTATGTACTTGTATTTAACTCAACAGAATACACCAAGCTATCTACTGGACCCATTCAGAAGGAGAACCCCGGGGATGGAGAGTCGCGACTCCTCTATGAACCTCCTTTGGACATTAATATGGTGCAGGTGTAGTCTCACCTCGTGCAAGACACTGACATGGCACTGGCAGCGGCGTGCCAATCATGACTGATTACTCCCGTGCTGAAGGAAGGAAGTCCAAGGGTCAGCACTTTGCCAGAATGTATTCTTAACGATTAAAAATCCCGTACGCGCACCCCTTCAGTACAAAGCCACATCCTCTACCATTTTTTGAGGCGAGTGATAAGGTCGGCCAGTCTTGATTGCTTGACTTGTTGACTATCATGCAGGTTTTGATGGTCGAATAGACACGAATGTAGAGATACACGTGCGCCTCAATTTACTTGCCTATTCCGAAAGCAAGGAACGTGCTTGGGTCCGGAACGGACAAGAGAAGACGCGTAGCAAGCAGAGAACCTGATCATGCGTATATTAATTAAATTGTGTGCTTTTGTATCAAAAGTGCATTATGCTGCGCCATAATAATCACATCACGCAGCAGGGAACCAAAGCAGCGCTAGAACCTGAGGAAAGGGTATGAAACAGGAAAGCCATCGGATTCTCAAGCCTGGAGTGATGAATTGATGATACAATTCTAGACACATATGTAGCGGTAATGACGAGGAAAGTGGGGTACATAGTAGCTGAAAATGCTTGAGTCAGTTGATCGTCGGAGACAAGAAAATCAGCGACCCAATCCGCCAGTGACTGATCGAGCGGAGTCACACGCAAACCAAGGCTGTCTCCCCTAGCCAGCCTCTCAAGTTTAGGAAGAAGTTTGACGCCATGTAGAAAGGTATACATGAGCTGATTTCTGATCATAATAGCTGAGTGCTATAGCTCTACCGTCCCTGGTTGGGGCTCTGGGTATGTATTATGTAATGCTAGATTAGCCTGCAAAGAGGTTGACTCGGGCTCGGAGTAGTGTGCGTCCAATGTCCATGCTCGTATGTTAACGTAGTAAGTGAAACTGCGAAATATCTGTAGGCATATATCATGGATGAAGTTGGAATGGAAGTCGTAGTCACCGGACATCGATATCAGTTGCTACACGCGAACACGGTGGTTCAAACGTTCAAGTCAGACTGCACGATATCGTGATGAATCTATCGGCGAATATTTTCCCTGATGAGGGCCTTGACAGCCTCACGGGAAGTATCATAGAGAGATCTTTTACTTCTTTCGAGATCGTCCTTGGGTAGTGAGGTGATGCACGCATGTGGAGTAGACTCCACAATACCAAGTTTTTGGAGTTCATTCCTGTTCTCCGACCACCAGTTCCCCAAAGGAGCTTCGAAACCCTCCAAATTGGTGACAACCACTACGATGGGCACGTTGCCCACAGCCGACTTGAACTTCTTGTAGTTGCGTCCCTGTGATTTTTTCAGGCTGCCTCTAATTCCTGGCATGCAGTATACCAGAAGGTGTGGTTCTTTCGTCTTCAAGTATGCCTTGAGCCGCTTCTGCGCTTCCCTATCTGGAAGGAAACCCCAACGCCCTTCTTCGAGACCAATTGTATCGTGTATTGTGCACTGCTGTGCCCCAAGGTTGCATGTGTACTCTTGTTCTTTCTTTGTGCAACCCATTGTATCATTCGAGGTAGTGGCGCAGGCCTCGGGGCAAAGCATGTTGATGAGCGAGCTTTTCCCCACCCCAGATTGGCCAATGATGATCACGTTCTTCGATGTCGAGCGACCCTTTGCCATCTGACTCTAACTCATCAATATCATGAACATTGAAGACCCAAAATCAGTGGAAATTTTACCTTCGCAGGCGTCGGTACCAACTTGATGGCAAACTTGAAGATCAGGCTGCAGATTTGAGGAGTCGAAACTCACTGGAAGGCCAATGATGAGAGGGAGGTACCTGTGGTTCTGACCTTTAATTTTGGACGACGAAACGATATTAGTGCAATGAGGCCCAGACTCCACACCGCCGCAGTGTGGCGACAACGAGGCCGGGGCGCTAGGCTGTTCTTCGGCTACCGTAAAGCCTACTCGACTCAAACTCCCTCTCCTGGTCGAGTCTAGATGCCACTTAGTGCTGTGAAACTCACGTTATTTCCCTACCAAGCAAAGTTCGAAGTTTGAACCACGAGACGGACAGAAGTCGGTAATCTTATTCTATGTACACAGTAGTGACTTGATGTGCATACTCATCGCACCTTGTATGGATGCTGAATCTTGCTGATACAACTCAGGATAGGAGAACTAACTCGGAGGAAAGTTGGTCTCCCCTAGGCAGACCGATATATAGATCGTCTTATAATTAGACTCATATATGCGTCTTGCATTTGCCGTTATGTAAATTCTGAGAAAGAAGTTCTCGACTCCCCGACTGTTGCAGCTGCATGTATGGTATAGTAAGTATTCGTCTTGTCTACTCATTTTCAAAGGCTTGAGGAGTTCTTGGATGCTTCAAGGAGAATCAGTTGACTTCACTACCTACATCTAGTACATATAAATAGTTTACCTCCAAACGTCATAAGGGCGCTAGCATTCAATCGATCATAAACGACCAGCTCACCACATTGCAGAACAACGGGGTAAAGGCGCGTTGCAGCCTCACCCCAAATTCCTGTGATCAGCTTATGACACACACCCCGTACGGTGGCGGTAAGTAATTCCCCCAGATGTCGCGTGTCTATAGTACATGAATTGAAGTGCAGTAAATACGCACAAACAAGGTATATCAGTTGTGTCCGAGGCAGATCTATCCACACAAACAGCAATCAGCATCATACACAAGACCACTGGCGAGCGCACGGACCTGCGTAAGTTCTATCAGCCGCATGCGGAGCAACATCACACAGTGAGAGCTCCTCACGGTTTGATTATGAATGAATCTAGCATGCGCAACTCCCATCGCCCAGTGCAGCCGTGTCGCGTCCCACATCTATCGTCCCCGGCATGCCGTCTTCCTCGCCCCGTTTCCCGAAACTTACATTCGTTGTTGGTGTCACAGGTGCCCATAGCTCTGGGGTCTCAAGAATCCGCGCCACGAGCTCCTCGAATACCTCGCGTACCCCGATGGCCGTCTTTGCAGAAGCCTCGACGAAGAGGGCATTCTGACGAGAGGCAAAAGTGGAACCCTCCTTGGTGGAGACTTGCCGGGAGTTTTCCTGGAATGGGATTAGCAGTCAATATCAGGGCGGGGATGAATGAGCAGCAAGATGAGGGTGTAAGTAACTGGTGATAGTAACACAAGTGCAGTGTAGGGCAGGGGGGACGAAAAGGAAAACAAGGAATAGCAATAGTGCCGAAAGACATGATAAATAGTAAGTACCTTATCGACCTTATTCCCAACAATAATCTTCGGCACTGTAATTGAGACGTAGGTGTCGATTTCAGAAAACCATTTTGGAAGCGCTTCGAATGTCTCGCGGTTTGCTACGTCATACACTGTACCAACATTATCAGACCTCCGAACCTTTATCTCGTATACGCAAGTGAGAGAACACACCCAGTATGATCCCTTGAGCACCACGGTAGTACGAGGATGTGATTGTGCGGAAGCGTTCTTGACCAGCTGTATCCTGCGGGGCACATCACACCAGACACCATTATGCCACAGATACAAGGGAAAGAAAGGATCAACGCACCCATATACTGAGCTTCACCTTCCGCCCATTCACCTCCATCTTGTGTACCTATACCCACGATTGTCAGCACAATGAGCACATGACTTTCATTCTCCAAGAGTGGGAGATTGAAGGTAGGAATGGCAAACGCACACGGAAATCAACGCCAATCGTTGCGCTCGCTTCGTCCTCGGGAAGCCATTGCTCATCCGAGAAGCGCAAGAGTAAGCTGCTCTTCCCCACTGAAGCGTTTCCAATTAGCAGAAGCTTGACATTTACAGGTGAGTTGATGGTTGTAGCAGCTGCGGGGGACTTCTTCATGAGGTCTGTTGGAGGCATGGTAATATGATTACGTCGTTGAAGGTGAGAACGGGTCAGTACTAATGGTAGAACAATACAAATGTCTCGAGCGGCGATGAATGATGCAGCTTGGCAGTGAAGAGCACCAGTACTAGGAGGCAGCAAGCCTCGTTTTCGTCATGCGCCTGCACCAGGAAAGCCCTCTCGGCTAACTCCACGGCGCCTCGAGTTTCATTGAAAAATTAATATTGAGGTGCTGCCAACTACTTCAAAGGCAGTCCATCGCAATTACACTACGAAAACATGGGCAACAAAAGTTTCGAGAGCTACAACAGCAATAGGAATAAATGATTCATTGGTGAACTATGTACCTACGCAAATATTGTGACCTGCAAGATTAGCTCCAGCGGAAGGAACATGATGTGCCTCTCGAGGGGGAGGTGCTACAGCGGGCCATCTTTTTGAGCAGGATTTTATTGGTAAATGAAGTTATATCTGCAAGTAGCAATCATAAGTATGTAAGTCATTTAGTGCAGGTTGAATGGGTGATTACCTTGACAGTAGGTGCGGGATCGCGGAGAGCTGGGGACCATATCTGGAGTTATACACCGTTACCAAGATGAAAAGGCGCCAGAAGCTTATTGAGACTATCAAGACGAACCGTGCAGCGTTATCATACAGCTCAAACAAGGGTATCGCGAGGAGCTTCATGTTTTTCGGAACCGCGAGGACCTCTAATAAAGGAACAAGGTCAAAATGAAAAGTATGGCAGGGCTATCTGACGTACTTCGCTCAGGCATCTGGACTAGGAAGAGTTTTTTGCACTCTTTTGGCTTCGTGATGTGTGCTGGCACAAATGGGTACTACGAGCGTGTATCAGCACTGGTGGATTGCTACAAAGAAAATGGCCGCACCATAAATGTCTCGAAATTGGGCCGCCACCACTGGGCAAGACAGTCACCGATCTCCCACTCGTTGTCGACGCCATGGGACGCGTTGAACTGCTTGGACTCTACGGGCGGCGCGAGGCGCTCATCGAGGCGCCGTTTGAGTCCATCAATGTCGTCCTCGCCTGGTTTGAGGTAGTCACCGGGGCTGGCCACATGATTAGTGTTTTATAACAAAGCATCATCGGACATGGAAACGCACAGCTTGAAGAACGCGTTCGCAATCTGGAGCATTAGAATATGGGGATGTCCATGGTCATGCACAACAAGAATTCCCTCGACGGTGCGGCGCATACCGAAGTCTTCATAGTTATTCTGAAGGCGTTGCAGACGCGCAGACACGGAAGGGTCCTCCTCAGGCTGCGCTTCTTTCGTGCTTGAATTCGCAACTTCAGATTGACTGTCAGCCGACGCGAAACATAGCCCACCTAAAGGTAAAGTTCGACAGCGGGTACCTGTAGTTATAAGTTTTATTAGATGACAGCCACTTTTCTCATGAGAAAGAATACATGCAGGGCGATGGTGTTGGACATTATCGAATGTTCGACGTTATGATGAACTTCGAGTGCTATTCTTACTTAGATGCGTGACTATGTGACATAGATTGGGACTTGCTACTCACACCAAGATAGTTTCAAACTCCGCTGGACGTGACGAACTGGCTGACAAATTTCTCGGTGGTATGAACAACTCTATCATGCTGGTGTCGGTGTGTAATATATCTCGGTGTATTATATGAAACTCGGTGCAATGCAGACTCGGTGTAACAAAAAAACTCTGTGCATGAAAACTCTGTGGCTGGCAACCACAGCATTTCGGTGAGCAAAGGAAGGAACCAAATACATCTCGCAAACACATCTTGTGCCAGTATCTATATGTCAGTGTGCATTATGATATTCTGGGGCAGTAGTATTATCTCGGGGTGACTGTATACTATCTCGGGATAATAAACTGTCCGGTAAAAGGGAACTCACGAAAGGTAACACAGGTGGGTTGAAACTTGAAAGTACTAAATCACATCAGTATAGTTTCTAGGCGTTGTCTAATGTTGTCCTTGTTTTTTATGGTGACCACTTTGTCCGTCATTAGCTTTTGCCAACTAGTCTGTGTATTATCCGCTCCGAAGAGGAGGCAAAAATGGGTACGGCCCTTTTCCAACAGTCCCTCCTTGTCATCAGGTGTCCAACCATAATCGACAACCCCGAGTGCCAGTTTTGACGGACGCCAAGGTGTGTTGTTGCTAAAAATAACGGACACATGATTCATCGCCACATTGGGGGGTAGTCCCTTTGGCAAGAGAGCATATGCGTGGTAACCGTCCTGCAAGAAAGTCCTTTGATCTCCGAATGTTACTTCATGTAACTCGACCATCAGGAGCTTCAACCGCAGTCGCCCATCGACGATCATCATGGCTTGGTCTCCATGCAGTCTGTAGTGCTCATGACTGGGATTATAGGAGCCGTCCAAATATTGAGTGCCATACCCCTGTGCCGATGGTGGTAAGAACGCATATTTGGTGGATGCTATGCCAGCCCAGGCAAGTATGTCGCACTCCTGGCTTATTGGCAGGAGAACTTCCATCAATCTGCCAAACGAATCATCTCCTATGCCATACTCCACGTGCACGTGCACGTCGAAAAGTGCCAGCAGTGAGTAGGCGCCATCCTCTACTTTTCGGGAAGTCCGGTGAGATGCCCACATGAGCTTTTCACGTACTCTCTCTGTGCCTGCCCAATAGCATTGGATGTCTTTCACCGGGATCCCGGTGCCAGTGGAAAGCGCAGCTAGCAATCTCTGGTCCGCTTTGTCGTTGTCGATTCTTATATTGTGAATCGGGCTCCACGTTCGTCCATAGAATTTGACTCTAACTGGGGCGAGGAGCTCTTGCAAAGTCCAATTTTGCAAAAACCACGAGTCGCGCAGGAAGTCGTCCAATGTGGACGACTCCGCAAGGTGCACAATGCAGACATGTGCGTTTCGATACCACCTGAATATCTGAGGCATGCTTTTATCGAGCTCTTCTGGAGAGACATTGGACCTATCAATACAACATGTGTCTGCCCAGGCAAAATCACATCCGTATTCCGCTGCCCTTTGACAGAAGGCCGCTAATTTGTTGCGACTCGAGGATTTCTCGACCGCTGTGCAACACGATGTCATCTCCTGCAGCGTTATCTCTCCTTCGCGGCACCATCGGTGAGACAGAACGGCATATTTGACTGTGCCTTTCACAATGTTTCTGATCACTTCGTCCCTTCGCTGATTCGGGTAGAATGTGTGTTGCTCTATATCTCTCTCTGTCACAGCCTTGATAGACGGCATATATAGCTCCTCCACCCCTTGCTGTTGTACGACTTGCATCTTTGATGTTGTGATTAGTCGATGTGGGATGTTGTCCCGCAGGTACTCTTGGAATATGCGGCAGACCTCTTCGATAGCCATTCGACGCGTAGCTTATCAAAAGGAGCAGAGGGATCGAAATATATTAGTTCTTTTCAAATGAATATCACCAGCGGAAGTTGCACTTCGGATGATAAAGCTTGCCGGTGAGCAGACGGAAGAAGTGAGGGAGTTGGCGCAGGTCAAGAAGTACTACATAGCTTATAAGTTTCCCCACATAACCTGTGACCAAATGATTCCCACACGCTCCTGTGGTAGAATGCTGGATTAAAAACCTGAGGCTCCGGAACAAACGGCTACTAGACTCATGACCAGTCTGACACTTGCAAGCTTGGCGGCTATGATGCACGTATTATTTAAGTAGTATAAAAATAAGACCCTTTGTAAAAGAGTCCATGGAGTGTAACGCTATGAAAAAAAGGGCGGCCGACCTGTACAGGATAGAGCTGTGTTGCAATGCTGCAAGTGCACAGAATGCTAAAGCCACACTGTCGTGACTCGTTGGTACACCTCCCTCTTGGTGCGAATTATCACAATTTTTTTCGTCTCAACCTTTTGCCACCCCCCATACGCGCTGTGAATACTGGATCCCAATATGAAGCACAGGTACTCCTTTGTTGGTTCGAGTTTTCCGACACCACCACGTTTTCCAGATTCATCAGCTTGGTAGTTCACGATAGCGACCGCCCACTGCGAGAATGGCAGAAAGGTAATATCGCACCGCGCTGTAACATCATGAAAGCTCGCAGGAGTCGGAGATTAGACGGATAGCTTGAGTTTTTGTCCGTTTTTCTCGCGGCCGTTGTGGTGTGGGTTTCTGCAGCATCATCTCCACTAGAATTACTTCGAGTTCCAAACCTCTCTTCGTCATCGTAAAAAAAAGGGTCACCGAGCTTGGAGGGACGATCCATTATATGATGACCTGGTGAAAGCATATTGGCGGATGCTTTGTCAAAAGCGCAGTACGCCAGAGGGGAACTGGGAATGCTGGCCTGAAACGGTGCATGCGGACCAGCCCACGCCAATATCTGCCATTCACGACAGGCCTGCATAATGCCCTCCATCAGGCGGCGGAAGGCCCGCTCTCCCTCTCCATAGGCCACGCTGAGGCTGATGTCAAGAATTCCAACCATGGAATAAGCGATATCCTCAGTCCTGGTTGTCCTCCGCTTGGACTGCCCAGATCATTTTCTCGCGAATATCGACTAACCCTGGACTGAAATATAGCAAATTCTGGCAAGATATTCCACTGCACCTGAGAAAGAGCTTCTAACATGGAATGGTCTTCCTTGTCATTGCGTGAACAGCTGAGCTCGTCCCACACCTTGCCATAGAACTTGATTCGGGGAGGAGCAAGAAGCTCCTGAAGTGTCCAACCACGGTAGAACCATACTTCTTCCGGGAAGTCCGAAATGGATGAGGAGTCTGCAAGGTACACTATACAGATTTCCGCGTTGCGGTACCACTTGAACATCGCCCTGATTGCCTCATCGAGTTCCTGCACTGCTTCTCTTGTCGATGCAACAAGTGTCTGACCAAGCCAGACGACAGTCGTAGTCCCTTGCTTTCTTGCAAAAGTTACTGAGCTTGATAAATCCAGGTCTTGTGGACTGATGGTTTCCTTCCACTGACATCTCCTGGAACTGTTGGCTCCCCGATGCTGAGCCATCTGTGAGAAAGGGCTGCATATCTCAACTTCTGCCTGACCACGTCGAGAATTTTGTCTTTGGAGACAAGGTCCTTGCAGGCCCTGATCAATTCCGGACGGAACAGATCGACCAATGTCTCACGATCGATAAGCGTTGTAATTTCAGAGTCATCAGAAATGTAGATGAGATGACTCGGCATCCTGTTAAACACGAACTCCGCTGTGACATTCAATATGTCAGCCTCGGTAGGAGCCCCGTCCTGAAAAAAATGAAAGGCAGGATTGAGATTGAGTGAAATGCTCAGAATCTCAGTTTCCTCGGTGCTAACCTCGTCGCATGAACTTTCATCATCGACATCGGGCTCCCCACGCTCGTCAGTGACGTTGCTGGTCGATGCATCCCCGCATCCAGTGGGTGTAGCAAATATCATTGTGCTTGTCGAGGAAATGGTATGATATGGCTCGAGCCTTTCCGGTGGAAAGTCTTGACTCTGGAACGATGGTATCGGTTCATTAGCTACAACATATACCACGAAACAATCAACCTGAACTCACGATCACCTCGTTGTTAGATAAAGAACTGTGCCGGAAACTGTAGCTTGCCGGAAATTTCCGGCACCAGCGTCCAGCTGAGCGGAAGCATTGTTTTCCTCAGCCTCTTCTTTCAACACGCACAACGACGAGCTCGTATTTGCTCACACACATTCTCGCTCACTACACAAGTTCATTTGCAATTCACTGCATATTCCAATAGTTCCGATGATTCACACAGACTCGTATAGATTATTATCTAACCCTAGTAAAATACAATCCTTTTAAAGCGCTTGACACGGTCGAACTCATAAGCAGTTGTCCCGCCCTCCCAGCGGCTCCACCTGCTTGTGTCCCACACCGAGCTACGCTCGGACCAGCCCAACCTCACGATCGTGTCAGTGCACCGTCACAGTCCTTAGGCGTCAGTTGAAGCTGGACTTGCGCGGAATGATTTATGACAATGCCATGTCCAATGCACGTCAACCCGGTCCCAGTGGCCAGTGACTAGTTGTGACTGCGTTGTCATTCAGTCACGGATATGGCCTAGGCCGCCTGCGTATTGAAGCGCTTTCTTTGAAAGCTTCATTCAGGTTGACTTCGGATACTAGTTAGGCCACTGCATCCAGGCTTTCTTATTTCAACTGTCGTGGGGGCATGGCGTTGAAGGTGAAATCTTAGAGAATCGTTTCTCAACATTTACATAAATGAGATCTATTTCTCGAACTTTCACTCTGGTATCTCATCACTGATCACTTATTGTAAACCGACACCGTATTGTAGTTTCTCGAGTCTAGACGTTGTCGAAAGTAATCTTTTATGGTGAGCACTTCATCCGTCATCAACTTCTGCCGCCTCACCTGGATATTAGTATCATGTGCTTCAAAGAGGACAAATAATGTGGATGTCATTTCTCCAACACTCCCTCCTTGGCATCAATTGACAGCTCTGAACCGAGCTGGAAATAATGAACACATGATTCAAATCCCCGCGTTGAGGGTTTATCCTTTTAGGTGCGTACGCAGGTTCCGGTCTGCTGGAAGGCCCTTTGCGCCCTTATGTACATCAGGAACTTCGGCTGTCACCGTCCATCGATGATTGTCATGAGACTGTGTCACGTCCTTGTACGTGGACTCGCGTTGGCCTTCCATTGAAAGAAGAATGATTAATGATTGGTGGCGTGCCATCTGACTAGCGGATATTCGTAATAAAAAAAGGAACGATCGTTTCCTTGTGTTTGGGCAACTGGTGTCCGTCCCGGTGCAACCTTAAAAGTCACTCGTGGGCGCTACCGCAACAGTCAAGCGCCCAGTGACGGGCTTTACAAGGTATAACTCTCGGCTCTCGCACTCTGATGGGATCTGTCAGGTGCTCAGTTGTCAGTACATAATGATCAACGGCATTCTGAGTCTGGTGCTAGCAGCTGGTGAATAATTACTACTAATTGCTGTAGTCTTCTCTAGCCAGACGAAGGAAGATAGTTGTTCCTACTAATAACTGCCTCGAACGATCTGGAATCAGGATCATCATCATCATCATCATCGGTTCATCGCGCAAGGTCCCGCAACGAACGACTTTTAACGGAAGATTCCGGGAAATATGTTACATTTAGGGGTCCAATTATGGACTTGCAATGCCGTTATCATGAATCAATTCTGAACTCAAACTGCTCCGTCTGTCTTGAAATAATAAAATATCCTCCACAAAACAATCGCATGATGCAATCGTCAGTCGTCGTCACCTCAAACTGAACGACAAGACACACGAAGACAGAGCTCATCATCCACAGTCCGTGTGCTCATGTCCTTTGTAGCTGGTAACGTCGGTAACGACAGATCAACTTCCTCGAGAAGCCCTGACAATGACTTCGGACCTGAGCATGCGAATGACGCGACAAAGCACGAAATTCTACGCATAGCCTCGCCATCGCAAGATGATTCCCCTTTACACAGAGCTGGGTAAGTTTCAATAACAACATAATACGTTATAATGTGGTCTGAATACGGTCACCTGTCCATGCTTCTATGTACATTCAATCTCCTAACTTTCAAATTCAATTGCAGACTACTTCAACCTAGGAGCTACGTTTCATTTATGTCGGTTACACCCCATTCTCAAGACGACATTCGTGCGAGCACCGTCCAGCTCTCTAACATGTCGTTGTTCTCTGCTTCAAGGGGCTTACACTCCCCCGTGCCGCAGAACTTGCCTTCGACTGCAGGACACGATGCACATTCGTCTTCTCCCTTGCACCACGGTCGAAAGACAGTCCATCAGCTACTATCCCCTTCTGCACTTACGGCAGAGAGCACGCCTTCACGCGATTCATTCATATTCCCCTCTGGTTATAATCTAGTCACGCACGTTGCACCAGGGTCACTCCCAAATATTCCGATATCTACATCTTTTGCACCCTCCTCGCAATCTACAAAAGGAAGCCCACACTTCTCAGCCCAGAGTTCTGACCTCTCAGCTTCCACCTCCACTCTAAACTCCTCCAAAACTGTCCACCATCTGTCGTCTGGGACAGCAACTCCTCGCGGGAGAGACATGTCTTCTCCTACCGCGCCTTCTGCACTCTCGCTTTCGCTCTCCAGGCATGCGAACGGTGCTACGCCTAGAGCACTGCACTCGCAAAGTCCAACATTGGCGCAAATAACCGAACAGCCCCAGTACTTCGATTCACTAGCAGACACAGAACAGGCTATTTCCACGGTTGACCATCATTCTGTGGATCGTACCCTTCTGTCAACTAGCAATATTCGCTCAGAAGTTTCGCGTTTTGCTTCTTCTCCGGCCACAGAAAATACTCCCCTGCTTCCGCCACCTCTAAACGGCTCCTTGACTTCCATTAACGGTCACGGCTCGAAACACTCGAAGTCCTCAAAACGTTTGTCAAGCCTCGTGCATGGGATTATAGGCGAGACACATAAAATTTACCCCCAAGAACTCGGGCGAACTGTGTTGAAAAGTTTGCCGGCTGTGCTCCTGGGCACGTTGCTCAATATCCTTGACGGTGTTTCATGTGAGTCATTCTGACGAATACTGCCTTTGTTACGTCTTTCTCGCCATCTGATGGTCTCGTTGACTTCATTTCTCTTTGGCGGCTAATATTTAACCCCTAATACATAATATGAACTATATTTGTGTGCTGTCTGATGTTCTTCGGTTCCTGCTCATCTCCGATTATGATGGATCAGCTACTAACAATACTGCAGATGGAATGATTATTTTCCCTGCGTTTGGTGTCTTTGCTGGGTTAGGTGGGATGGGGGTGTCCATGTTTTTTGTCTCGTACGTCATATCTATCGTTGAAAACCATTGCTTCTAATCAGAATGTCATCGGCAAACAGCACGGTGGTGGCACAGCTTGTGTACTGTCTCGGAGGGAGCAGCTTTGCGGGTGCTAATGGCAGTATGATGATCGAGGTTGTGGTACGTGCGCTTCATTGACATTTCAATTGGCTCCTGCCTATCTCCATTACTTTCGCACGCTATTCAGTCGTTTGACCTGGCTTGTACCTGACGCGGTGTTCGCTTCATTGATCGTTCCGTTACCCCAGATTTGCACCCCTGATTCTGATGCATTTCCTTTTTGATGGCAGCCCTTCTTTCACATCCTTGCGGCAACCATAGCACGTGAGATCGGAGACGAGTATCCGAAAGAGATCATCGCCACGACCATTGCGGCGTATGCGTTGTCGTCCGTGCTCACCGGTAGGTCACCTCTATGCTTGGCTGTCAGGTGTTCACTCACGCATGTGATTTACGTAGGGCTGACCTTTTTTCTCCTTGGCTATCTGCGTTTGGGCGTGCTCATCGGGTTCTTCCCGCGGCATATTCTTGTCGGGTAAGCTCTTTCTTGATTTGGGGGGACTTCGAGCTGATGCCCCGCATAGATGTATCGGAGGCGTTGGAATCTTCCTGATTCTTACAGGGTAAGTTCCAATTTAGTCCTTATGATGAAGGAGATCGAGTAATGTACAATGAAAACAGCCTCACAGTGAGCACGCGCCTCCCGTCCGATGCGCTCGATCCGCCGACACTGGAGACCCTCCGATACTTTCTCCTCAATACCCACGCCCTTGCTCAATGGGTCCCTCCCCTTGTCCTGGCAGTACTATTGAGGGTCATCACAATGCGATGGAAGCATCAGCTTGTGTTCCCTATCTGTACGTCCAAGGTTACTGACCTGCGTATTTGTTTGCTCACTTCATGCACGAATCCTAGATTTCATGATTATACCAGCTGCGTTTTATGTGGTCGTTGCAGCTGCACGGCTTGATCTTGGTGCATTGAGGAGGGACGGATGGCTTTTTGATGCGGCTGAAGGAGCTGGAGGCGCAGAGGATAGATGGTATGGATTTTATTCGTATCTCGGTGAGAAAGTTCCATCATTTAGGGATGAACCCAGGCCTCATTCCATATTTACAGATCTTGGATTGATTAAGTTTGCACCTATATGGACGACACTGCCGATACAATTTGCACTGTACATATTTCATCATTCACGCTGTTGGCCTCGCTTATGGTTTGTTTAGGTTGTTCTTCAATATCTTGCACCCACCTTTGAATGTTCCCGCATTATGTATGCTCTGCCTGAAGCTGCCTGCTTAGTCGATAGAGTGCTGACTTACTTGCAGCGGTGTCCCTTGATGAGGACATTGACACCAACAAGGAGCTTGTGGGACACGGGTATTCGAATTTGCTTGCTGGGTTCCTAGGCACAGTGTAAGCGCACTCCACTGACGCTCGCTTGTAATTGCTCACACCTTGCAGACCAAACTATCTTGTATACGTCAACACCTTACTGTGAGGCAAATTCTTACCCATTGTTGTACTCGATAGCTCACTTGCTGGTTCATCAGGTTTTACCGCGTGGGTGGCGGGACGCGCACTGCCGGCTTCTTGCTCGCGGTCGCTACGTTTATCCTGCTGATCTTAGGGACATGGCCCATAGCGTACATCCGTATGTGGTATAATTACCATAACCTCTCTCCTCTCATAATTTGAATAGCTGTCATGGTCGTCAGCGCTCTAATATTTGTGCTCGGCCTCGATCTTGTCAAGGAGGCCTTATGGGATACGCGAAACCGAGTTAGCAGGTCGGCTTCTGCAATTCTAACTGATATGCAGCAGCTGATAAACATGTTTCAGGATGGAGTACATTACGATTATCAGCATCATGGTTACGATGACGGCCTGGGACTTTGTCATTGGTGTTTTGTTTGGCATTGTCGTCAGCTGTGAGTACGTCGCGCTGTCAGGGTAGACTGTGTTCATGGTTTGGGATAGGTTTCTTCTTCGTGGTACAAAACTCGCAGAGAAGGAGCATACGCGCATGTTATGCTGGGGATTCGGCAATTTCCACGGTCAGGCGGCCTGCGGCACACAGGGCGTACATCCGAGAAGTGTCGAAGCAGACGAGGGTCCTTCGTCTTCAAGGTACGTGAATTGTCTCTCTCATTGCAGCGGAAATTGATTCTGGCATTCAGGATTCCTTTTCTTCGGTACCATCGCCCATGTTGAAGAAACTTTGAGGAATATCGTCGAGGGTGCTGCCTGGCAACGCAATCCCGTCCGTTTCGTCGTCGTCGACTTGTCTCTCGTAGTCGGTGTGGACATGTCCGCCGCAGAAGCCTTCGTGCGCGTGCAGCGTCTGCTCGCTGCAAAGGGCGTGGTGCTGGTGTTTTGCGGTGTTACCCCCGACAGCACCTGCGGAAAAGCGCTTAGCAGTGTGGGAGTCCTCCAAGAGTCATTCGTAGAGGTCTTTGAAACGTTGAATGACGCGATGGAATGTGAGCTTTATTTCCTTGTGTTGCGAACTTGAATTGACGTCGTCTGCAGGGACGGAAAATGCGTATCTGCGAGCGTGGTTCAGAGCTCAGAAGTCATGGACCACTCCAATATCGCTTCCTGGCCGCCGAGATACTAAACTTTCCTTTGATGAGTCTTTGACGGGATCTCCGAGGCAAATGCAACTTCGTGATGTTGGAGAGCGCACAATTGCTGGTGGTCAGTTTGTCACCTTACCTAACCAAACCAAACCTCATCGTCCAGCAGAATTTCTCGACAAGGATTCAGAGAATTCATCCGAGCCATACAATACCCTGCTGAATGCGTTCTCGTCGTATCATGACGTCGACCAGAACACATTCAGACAGATCGCCCCGTACTTTGAGCGGTTCACATTCCCAGAAGGCTTCGTCTTGTGGGAGAATAACGATACATCCGATGGTCTGTATATCATCGAGTCAGGCGTCCTGCGGGCATCGTACAAGTTTGCAGAGCACAGCCCCGTCATCGAGGAGTCGATGGTATCAGGCACTCTTGCAGGCGAGATTTCCGCTTTGTCGAACATGCCGCGCAATGCACGAGTGGTTGTAGAGCAGCAGGTTGTATTGTGGAAGTTGTCTCTCGAACACATGCGTCAACTGGAGACAGAACATCCTCATCTTGCACAGACTTTCGTGCAACTCGTACTCAAATGTAAGCAGTTTAAATCCTTATCTGGGGCACAAGCTTATCCTGCGTATTTCAGCTGCAAAAGTCGATACCGACATCCTTCTGGCTGCCTTGGCCACAAGATAAAAAAAAATAGGAATGTATATACCGAATGTAAAACGTATCTTACGCAGATAGTACCCACAGATATGCAAAGCAAAGACACGAATACAAACATGTCACAAGAGTGTTATCGAACAAGTACCACTTCTCGTCCTCGTATCTCTTGCAGGACCTCATGAAACCGCAACGACCACCACCCGCGCTCTTCTCTTTCCTGTTGTTCTGCATCCCCAGCTTGCCCCTGTTCGACGCCATGTAGCTGCATGGAAGGACTTTTAGGAAATGGCAACCCTGATGCGAGGATGGACAGGACTGATTGACTGATCTCGGACTTTGACGCGTGAGCCAGGTGACCCTTCACGGATGGCGAAGATAACGACCTCAAAGTATGCTGACAACATTGTCTCAGTGGTGCCACCCACTCCTTAAAAACGGCGCACTGCATAGAAGCCTCCGACACAGAAGAACGAGAAGTGCCGTGCGACAACGAGACGGTCAAGACCTGTCCTTTTGAATTCGCGTGTCCTCTCTCGAACTCCTCAGCAGTAAGTGGAACTAGATCTAGGGAGATGGACGACCTTCTATCTGATTAGGTCATATAAGTGCTAGCTCTATAAGTGAACGTCTTTCGAGGTCCTCACCTGTCTCGTCCGTCACAGAAAGGATTCTGGACAGGCCAAAGTCGTCGAGAATGCGCAAATCTGCGGAAGTGCGCTTGGAGTTCTCGTAGTAACTGGGGGCGGAGGCCATCACAATCAAGTCAGTGAATACGAATAACTGGACGTCAACAGCCGGAGACTCGACGCGAAGCAAAGGGCTGTTCCTGGAATCTGCTTGCGTCTCGGAACGAAAGTCAAATGATGATGGAGCAGTACGAAAGGATTGCAGCGACGCTGTCATCGAGGCCGTAGACTGCACTGAGCTACTGCGCCCACGCCAACCTTTCAGCGCATTCGAGAGTCTTTCGTTGCGTTTTGGCCGCGAATCGGCAGATGGGCTTTTGAGTGACTCTGTCAGAGGTATACCATGCGAGTTGGTGGAAAGCCGCATGATTGGTAAGTCATCGTCGTTTTCCACTCTGGCACATGCGACGGGACCGTGCATCAACAGACGCCTGTCGCGGCAAGGAAGTTCAGAGGGAATGTTCGCTATATGTGAGAGCATGTCTTTCACGAACTCGTACTCGTCCTCCCGATCCTTGACCTCGCTGAGAACACGGATCGTGAGTTTGGCAGAGTGAAGAGCAGAAAGTGTCGTGAGATAGTCGGGATGGGACTTCGGGGTTGCGTGCCAGAGCCGCTAGAACAATGTGGTTTCAGGTATGAGAAGTCGATGAACACAAGGACTTACGTGAAAGAAGTCGGGGTATTGGGAGAGTCTGTGAACAGGTTCGACCAAGTATTTCTCCAATGTCCATCCCTGACAGGCGGAGGAGCGCTCCTGTAGCTTGATAAAATCCCCGATGTCGCTTTTCTCCAGGGCGACAAGATGTTCGATTCTGGTTGCAACAAACTCCAGCTTTACCAGGTAAGGCTGATATATTTCAAGCTTTGCGACGAAAGGTCGAAGAATTTCCCCAACGAATTGCAGGTTGGGGGTGCGCACATCCCGACCGCTGACGAGACTGGCGGATAATTTCGTGTGGAGGTGTACGATATCTTCTAACCAGTCAAACAGTCTCGAGACGTCGTCTGGAACGCCAGAAACCCAGACCTTGGTGCTTCGGACGCGTAGAGGAAGGATGAAGAGCTGAACCATGTTCTGCAGGTTAGTTACAAAAGTGGCCTCCGACTCCGCTAGTTTCCAGACAATCTCCTGTCGTCGTACCTCTATCTCACCAAATTGCTCCAAAACATGCTGACGAAAGTCTTCCCAAGACCTGTAGATATCCACAGAAGAACGTTGATGATCCCGATGTGCATTTTTCCTATCCGAATGCACGAATTCACGAGCGACTGATGACATCGATCTGGCAGAGACAGTTGATTCAGACGCTGCATTGGACAAGTCGCTTTGCGTGGGCTGAGTGTTCATGGAACGTTCGAACTCCTGTGTCGTCAGTCTATCGAGGAGCGAATCGGTATGCATGCCATCATCTTCACACTCATATTGCCATGTATTTCCGGCGATAGACGACATGTCACTGTCGGCATGCGTGAGGCAGGGTTCGGCGGAGGAGTTGCCAGAAAATGACGTAGAAAGTCCAAATGCCTGGCGTTCGCGCGCTGCAGCCTCGTCTGAGGTGACCATCATGCGCGAGAGTTCTGAGGAGTATCGTTGACTGCCAATTTCAATGTGAGGAGTATTCTCAGGTGATGCATGCGACACCTTCGAGTTAAAGTGGGCCGGACTCCGGTGAACAGAACGGCGAGGTGAGAGTAGGGGGTGCCCTGAAGACGGCCGCTCGACCGACAACCCTGAGTTCCTCGCTGAGACAGTTCTGTTAGCCGTAATGTTCAGTGTTGCGTAGAACCGCATACCATTTCGCTCATTGGAATGCCATTGGTTGGTTGCTTGGTCGTCTTTGGGAAAAGCCCTATCTGCGTTTGAGTGAGAATGATCGTCTCTGGGGGTAGAGCATCGGAGGCCTTCGTCATTTTCGTCGTCAAAAGAATACTCCGAGCCAGAGTCACTCTCGTTCTTGCTCGACTCATCCCAGGAAGATGTACTGGAGTGAGGAATGTGGATGCAATCGCTGGAGCCACCAATAGCGAGTCCTTCCTCGCCAAAGTACTCGCTCTCTTCGCTTCGAGTTGGGTGATCTAGAGAGTCAGGGTTCAGGCAACTAACGAGCCCGAGGAGTTCTCTTTTTCGCCGGTCACAGGAATCATCACCATCAGCCATCGTTTCCGAAGCGGGGTAACTTGATCCAGCACTGCTCAAGGAATATCGGTCGGAAATCGTAGGGTCGCATTTCTCCTCGTCTTGATCCGCAAGGTCAGAGAAGAGACTCTCGTTGTCTTGGATGCAGCCGTCTTCGTCGGTGCTAGCGCTCCCGCCTTCACTTGCGGTAGAACGCATCGAGTTGGCCGAGGCATCCGCAAACATGCTTCGAAGTTTCGCACCATAGTCTATGAATCCAAATCCAAGGCCAAAGCGTTCTTTTTTCTTCTCAGGTGCTTTATAAGCCGAGGGGTGTCCCTGCGAGAAGGAAGGCGGGTTTGCGGACGTAACAGGGGTCCCGTCGCTCTCTGAGCTGGAAGATGGGAAGGTGAGAGCACTAGCAGGGACCAGTTTCCGACCTCGGATGATTGAGCTGGCTCTTGTTTCCAAGTCGGTCAGACTGTCTTCGGAGCTCTCTCGTGGAGTGTGTCGTAGGAGTGGCTGTACGGCACGCCGAGGAATATTTGATCGATAGTTTTTTGGTTGGGGAGTAGCCAGTGAACTGGTTGAAGGCGCCGAGTTATGCGGTGCACCGGGGTCTGTGCGAGCGCGAGCCCTTTCCGTCCTTCTGCCAGAGGTGACGTTAGTCGTGATGGAAGGCTGACGAAGCAACTGATTTTTCTGTTTGTGGGGGAGAGGTGACCTTGGCAAGAAGCCCTCCGTGGGAGGGAGCCACTCCGGTTTTCCGCTGCGTACCAAGCCGGAAGTTCGAGGTGTGTCAAGTCGGTCGGAAGGTCGATCAGAGGAAATCGTCGTAGGAGTGCGAGGTTGAGCTTTCAAAATGGGCTTCGGTTTCTGTCTCAACACACTGCGTGAGGGACGTGGAGGACCTTCCGACTGAGTTGGCGGAAGCTGGTGACTTGTGTCCCTCGAAGACGACGATGGACACGAAGTAGACGGAAGTTGAGGCATCCTAGCGAGCTTGGAACGCGGAGGATTGGAAGAATACTGACCGATGTTAGCTCGAGGATCCAATTTTGCGCTCTCATTCAACAACGGAGACGGCGTTCCAATCTGCGATGATGGTCTTGTCATACGATCGATAGTATCCTTTAGGGAAGGCAGCAGTTGCGCTTCCATAAGCCCAAGATCGCCTACTTGACTCTTGCGCTTAGACCTGAAATTGCTGGTCGACATCTGTGAATAGTCGACGTGGATAGATTGCGCATCGGAAGCAGAAGCAAGCGAGGACTGCGAGGGTAGCGGCGGACTGGTGAAGGTATATGGATGAGGAGGACGCGATTCGTGAGTACGACTTCGGTTTGCACCGTATGATATACCCGCTGCAGCTGCATAGTGCGACGGTGGAAGAAAGCGGTGCGAAGGGGTAGTTGGAGTAAGGGTTGGAGCAGGGGAGCGGGAGGCATGGCGCTTCGTTGACCAGGGGTGCGACATGAACGTTGAAAATCGAGGTCATGAACACAGAATGCCAAACCTCGTTAACGCGTCGTGGTCACGTGAAGCTGACTTTCTGTACGAAGCATAATATTTTGGATAAAGGGACATACATGTGACATGAGACTGCATAACTAACCTGAGATCTAGATCCATATATCACCAAAAGAATTATCCATCTCATCGCTGTACCCTTACACAAGTTTGGCGCAAGAATCTTCGAATTTGAGGGAGGGAGCTAGTTATGTAAGTCTAGCTTTCATCCATATCACAACCTCTTCTCCCCATTCTTCCCCTTCACCGGAACATAAAGCCCAATTGGGGCTGATGTGATTGTGACCTTTGCAGATGATGGCCTGGGGCGCCTCTCCACGCCGCTTCTCGATATCCGGCAGCGAGTCCTCCCACGATGTCAACAGCCAGTCGGGCTCTCGCTCTGCTCTGACAAGGAGGATGTCAGGTATGTTCTTGATCTGTTCATCAGATAGGTTATTCCAAAGGGCCCGCGGCTCCCTCTCCTTCTGTTCCGCTTGAGAACCAAAGTACTGTTGTGCGGGGACTTCGATGCGAAATCTTTCATCAAAGTACCAGCTGCCACTACACCAAATAACACCCTTCAGACGAGGATGTACGGTTGTGGACAGCGGTGGGTAAAGGGTCAACACTTTTGTGTGCATGTCGCCCGCTGAGTGGCCCATGACAAATATAGCATCCGCATCAGGCGCGGGTATCAAGGGTATGCCAATGATGTCAATGCTGGCGAAAATCCAGTTGACTGCATCACGAATGTCCTCGGATGAAGCTGGGAACTTGACCTCTGGAACAAGTCTGTAGTCCGGAATGATGGTGATGAAACCGCGGTGTGCGAAGAAAGATCCAAGCGCACGGTATCCCATAGAAAATGGTTCAGGAAGTTGTCGTGATCCAGTGTTGAATCCACCTCCATAAACGAAAACTAGAATAGGTGTCTTCCCACTCTTAGTGAGAGTCGAATTTAGCGGGTAATAAACGTCAAGCTGCGAATAATGCGTGCGTAAGGTTACGAGCATAGCATCAGGTCTCTGAAACAAGTCACACACCTCGTTTCTGGTGCGGCGCTTGTCATCATATACAAAAGTCTTGCGTTGAATCTTCTCAATCTCTGCCCTTCTTTCCTCTAGAATAGGTACGAACGCTGCAAGAGCTGAAAAGCAAGTCAGCTATGAAGGAAGACATACGAGGAAGAAGACGCACATCTCAAGCTGATGGACGGAATGGCGGTTTCTGCGAACCTGGCGATTATCTCCATGATCAATCAGGAGTCAGGACGAGGAACGGGAGTCTTGTTGAACAGGAATGCTTATATATTGGGCCATGACTCTACGCTAGTACATGACAGCTCAGCAGTCAGGCCTTCCGGCCTGTTGACACGTTTCGTCGTAGCAGTGGTCGGTCCAATACTTGACCATATGTCTCGGGCACTTAGCTAAATTAGTATTAGTAATTTTGTAGTAAGTAACCATTCTTGAAATCTTACCGCAAACTTGACAAATCCGTTCTCACCGATGCCATCAATTCCTCAGTGCAGAGCTGGGTTAAGGCTAGCGTGGTCCAATATATATATATACACGGCTCTCACTCCTCGTCCTGACTCCTGATTGATCATGGAGATAATCTCTAAGTTCGCAGAAACCGCCATTCCATCCATCCACTTGAGAAGTGCGTTTCCTCCTTTTATGACTTCCTTCATAGCCGACTTGCTTTTTAGCTCTTGCAGCGTTCGTGCCTATTCTAGAGGAAAGAAAGGCAGAGATAGAAAAGATCCAACGCAAGACTTTTGTATACGATGACAAGCGCCTCACCAGAAACGAGGTGTGTGACTTATTTCAGAGAGTCGGAGACTGTTAGAATCAGATGTCATCACAGCTTGACGTGTATTACCCGCTGAACTCGACTCTCACTAAGAATGGGAAGACCCCCATCCTAGTTTTTGTCTATGGAGGTGGATTCAACACCGGATCACGACAACTTCCTGAACCATTTTCCATGGGATACCGCATGCTCGGATCTTTCTATGCGCACCGCGGTTTCATCACCATCATTCCGGACTACAGACTTGTTCCGGAGGTGAAATTCCCGGCTGCATCCGAGGACATTCGTGATGCAGTCAATTGGATTTTCACCAACGCCGACATCATTGGCATACCCTCCATATCCGCGCCTGATGTAGACGCTATATTTGTCATGGGCCACTCAGCGGGCGACATGCACACAAAAGTGTTGACCCTTTACCCACCAGTGTCGAATACCGTGCATCCTCGTCTCAAAGGCGTCGTCTGGTTTGGCGGCACTTGGTCCTTTGATGAAAGATTTCGCGTCGAAGTCGCCACACAGCAGTACTATGGTTCTCAGGTGCAACAGAAGGAGAGGGAGCCGCGGGCCCTTTGGAATGGTTTATCCGATGAGCAGATCAAGAACTTACCTGACATTCTCCTTGTCAGAGCAGAGCGAGAGCCTGACATGATACTGGAATCGTGGGAGGGGATGCTGCTGGATATCGAGAAGCGGCGCGGACAGGCGCCCCGGGCCATCATCTGCAAAGGTCACAATCACATCAGCCCTAACTGGGCTTTATGTTCCGGTGAAGGGGAAGAGTGGGGAGAAGAGGTTGTGGAATGGATGAAAGCTCGACTTGCATTGGAGTAGGGAACCCCTAGGGAGAGAGCAAGGGGAGGTTTGGCGGTGTTTGTGCCGGGTTAAGCCAAGGGAGAGGGTCAGAGTTGCCGGGAGCAGTAGAGCAGCAGTAGCTCTAAGCTACACGGCCAACTGCCGTTTTGGGTCGAACCAAGCTTGTGAGAAAATGATTTTAAACGCCTGGCAACGAGTTGGATACGAGTTCGAACACAGACTTGGCCTATAAATAATAAATTTGTCGTGTAAAGCCCACAATTCTGGTCCTTATCGAAGGTTTTGTCTCGATCCTGGGCAACACCTTGATTATTGCTATATTTCTGCCCAGACTGGGGCTCGGTCCAGACCTGGGAACGGACATGTCAGGCACATCGGAAGAAGTCATATAGCACAGGTCGAACAGCAGACCTGTGGCAGACCTATGACAGAGCTTGTACCAATATCTGAGTGACCTACATACTATATGGTCATACCATCAATACATCTGTGTGCCACTAGACTCCAAATCACACTCTTTGAAGTGTACTGGTGAGATCAGGCTAATCAAAAGGGCACAACATTTATATGCATTGCAGATAAGCACAGTACTAGTATACACATGAAGTATGCGGCAGTGATAGGTAACCAACTCAAACAAACTAAAACATTCATTACTGCAGAAGGCGCATTATGGAGTTAGTCAGAAGTAACAAGAGGATGAGGGAAGAAGAGGGCAGCATGTCTGCAAAACTCGGCCCAGATGTCCCCCCTGATATCTTGTTCTCCTGCCATCACGGTGGTGTTACCTGATTGTTCCAACCACTGCTCGATAAATGTACCTTCCAAAGGGATATGGGAATCCCACATTGGCCATGAGCCCCTTGGGAATAATGGATGAGCCACAATGAAGGCAAGCCAAAATGCATCATGTCCCCATGTCCACAGCTGCGTCTCAGTGTCCACCTCGGTGGCTAGCCATCCTTTGATATCCTTTGATAGCGCGGCCCATGTGGCCTGGTCACAGTAGTCAAAGTGTTGAAGTGGCAGGAACGGGATATCGATATCATCTTGGCAGGCAGGAAGTTTACCGTGACCTTGACTGCACAAAGACTGTAGAATGTAAGTTTCAAAATAACTTGCGAAGGCTGCAAACTCACTGTGGCATCCAAAGGTATTGATTCTCCAGCACTGGAGCATAGATCCATTGATGTGGCTTCTACAACTGGTGAGGTAAAGGACCTGTACTCTTCTGCAAAAGAAACTGAAATCTGAACAGGCTGTCATGTGTCCCAATAGTCAGAAAATAGTTCTGATATTTGACGGCCACAACTACTTACAATATTCCTTTCAATAACCTGCGTTGGAAGTCTGCCTGAAAAACAGATTGTGAGGAGCATGGACTGTGACGGGCCTTGGTCGACACCCTGGAATTGAATGTCGGGATACACAGTTATAATGTTGGTAAGTAGTCTGGTCGCCATTGATTGGGAGTTAAGCATTGAACGAAGAGGATGATGTGCCAGGACGTGAGAGATTGGACTTGTTGATTTCAACCTTCAAAGTGTCACGTGACTAGACTTTTGTTGCAGATTGATCAAGTCATTGAAGCTTATTGACATGACATGAACACTGATATTGTTGATGGCATTGGTGTGTATTTTCCCTGGTATTTATGATTTCTATGTGTACTGACTTGGTAGTCACAGTTCTGCAATTCCTTGATAACAATCGAAAGCAGGTCCTATGCAGGGTGTGCCCCCAAAAAAACGGCCATTATTGTGCAATGGAGCTGTGAAATGCTGAGAAGCACACTAGGCAGGCAATACACATCTGTCACGCCAAAAACCTCAGGCAGCGACTAACAAGGCTTTCACATCCAGTCCAAACCAGGTTTGAGGTCTCGCTGGATGGGAAGGATACCAACGTGATAAACATGGAGCCTGGGTTACCCACACCTGCTAGTGACATTGATTTCTCCTTTGAGGCTGATGAGTCTTTCATGGAAGTCGATATATGTGACGTGCCACTTACTGACATGCAGGCTGATGTACCACTTCCTGCAACACCTGTGCCAGACAATGGGGACTCATTATTGGAGCTCTTGACGGGCATAAAAGGCCATCAGACTTTTGAGCTCGACAGAAAATATCCAGACTTATTTGCCAAGCTTCAAACAAGCCTCTCTATGGGTGAAATACTGTTTTTGACACCACTTTCCCGGTCTTCTGTCAATGAGGAGCATCAGCTCTTTGACGATACCGAACCTGATTTTGGGGTTGAGCTCCCTGGTAAGTGCCTTCATTCGTTCTGCAGGACCATGTATCTAAAGATGTCACCAGATGTAATCCATGACAAGGTGACCACAAACTTCAATACTGTCTCAGCAGATAATCCAACTTATCCATGGCCATCAAAAGCAGTAGGTTTCTTACACCGTCAGTGAAAACTAATGCTTACCTCCCATCAAGGATTTCATAACATCGCTTCTTTTCAGCTCTCCGCACCTCCCATTTTCTGACTTACAGAAGAAGGCCATACTTAACTGGGCCAAGGGCCTTGGCGCTCCTAATGTCCCCTCACTGGGTGCAGTGAAGAAGTGCCATAATTACCTGGATGAGCTTGTCGGCAATCAAACTCAGAAGACGATGTCTTGCGCTGGGAATGTATTTTATATCAATAACATTGCGAACGCAATCACAAAGGTACATCTAGCATGTCTTTTATGTTCATGCAATAGTGACATTAGAATTAGGATTATGTGAACCCGCTGACTCGTTTTGCAATGTGCGATTACCCCAAGGATGGTGGTGAGGGGATGTTGCAGGTCTTCAATGGCCAGAAGATGTTGCTAGATTTTCCATCACTGCCGGCAGCTCGAGTAGACGGAACTATCTATTTCACAGATGAGCTATTACAGGATACCTCTGGAGATTACTTCATCCCAGAGCATTTTTTTATGCATCTCCTCCTGCAGACTCAGATGGTGGTGATGCTGAACCTCACGAGCATTCAGACACAAAGCCCTTATATGTGCTTGGTTGGGCAGTTGAACGAACAGAGGTACGTGGTCATTGTGTACCTATTATGATGTATAATGTTCTAACTACACTACTAGGCTGGATTTATTGTTAATGAGGCACAAGAGATCATACGCGCATCTGCTTTCATGCGGTCCTTTGAAGACATTGCTGGGACTCAAGGTGAACTTGATTGTGGGCTTACTGGTGTGTTATGTGTCCATTTGTCTCAGCGACTGCAAGACTCACATGTCATAAACAGTCTCATCAACCAAATATGCATCACTTTTGCCAAATCTGCTGCATGTGAAGGCAAATGGTTGCATGGTATATACGGTCCCCCTCATCATCTTCATGGATGACATTTCCGGCAACATCTCAAAACAATGGAATAAGCACCATGCAATCTATATGTCAAATGCGAATGTCCCACATGAGATGCTGGAGAAGGAGTTCTTTGTGTGCTTTGTTATGTCCTCACTGCATGCTGCTCCCATGGAACTTATGCAGGCAATGAAACAGTCCATTTGGTTTGTTATTTTATTCACTCGCTCAAATTGAAGCTCTAACTAAATCTACAGTGATGCAGCTACATCTGGTGTCACCGCATGGGATTGCAAAGACAACCAAGAAGTGTTGTTGATTCCACACGGACTTTTCATTGCTGGCGACAACCCAATGCAAGCAGAGGAATGCAGTCACACAGGATTGAACTGCAACTACTTATGCCGGATGTGTGACGCGGGTGGCACAAAAGAGTACAAAGCATCTTTGGATGGTTATAACAGCCTGTTCGCAGTAAGCATGTAGTTGAATCATATTTCAACAGCTGATGGTGTATTGCAGTCAGGCAATCTACGAACACCAGAAGGTACTGCTGCGAACATCCAGCAACAGTTTGAGACAGCATTGAAACCGGGTGCTACTGAGAAAATCAAAAATGTGGTGTTGACAACAGGTATTCGTGATATGGCTTCCATTTCCATCATCAACGCACTCCTAGAACTTGGAAAGAAGCTTCAAAAATGTGTCGCCGGCACTCAAGCAATGTTGGAAGCCGAAGTCACAGCTTCACTGAAGAAAGAATTTGAGGAGCTTCTATGAGGTGACACGCTCAATGACACTCTCAATCTGTTATTGGGGATAGATGGTCAGTTTCCTTCTGAGTTATTGTCCTCTCGTTCATGCTTTTGCCAGGCCTCAATATGCACATGGACACACCAACGGAAATACTGCATACCATGTTGCTTGGCAGTTGTGAAGTACTTTTGGGGACAGACTGTATTTTTACTCGACAAAGCAAAGCTTATGGACATCTTTCAAACCCGTCTCCAGTCTGTTGATACAGACAGACTGAACACTCCATGCCTGAATGCAGAATATATCTGCCATTATAAAGGCGGCCTGATCAGAAAGCATTTCAAGAGCCTGTCGCAAGTGATGCCATTTGTAATCTACGACCTCGTCCCTTCAACAGTTCTCAATGCCTGAACTATAATAGGTGAACTCATTGTGCTCATCTGGCACACAAAGATCATAAATACTGAAACTTATCTTTTATGTTCATATATGAGTATTCAAAGATTGTAGTTCTTATCCTCTGTGTCTTCTAGGCAAGCTTATCTCAGACAATCAAAGACTTTCTTAATGTCACTGGCACAGTGTTCCCCCAGTATTATCATCAGCAAACCAAAATTCCATTTCTTGATTCACCTCCCAGCATGCATCCATTGGTTTGGACCTGTGATTGTGTTTTCAATCAAACGATATGAATCAGTTCAATCATGTTTTCTGTTTGACGTGCATATACAGCAACTGTCAAGCTCTGAGTCACGACAGCTGCAGAATATTCACTCATCAAGACATTGTCAAACATGTCACCACTGGTGGATTTTGGTATGACTCCAAGGTCTCGAAATGGGTTCAGGGAGGTCAAGAGGTTCTCAGGATACCTGTACAATCACCCAGAACAGGTGTGATTACTTGGGTTGTCACATTTTGTTGGTAGCCCTCCAGTACCTGGTATATCAAGTGTATTGTGCCTCGCTTTATCCTCACTAATGTTTTACATAGGTTCTGGAAAGGCTCAATATACTGTTGGCACTAACAGAAAAACAATAAGAAATAATGCGGTGGCCTGGAAGAACACTTGTTGTGTGAAAATCTTGAAGACCACACAGCCAGGTATTGTTTATTTTCATGGAAAATCAGTTGTGGTGAGCGAGGGCAATGTCACATGTTTAAATGGTCATGTTGTCTTCCATCAAGCCACAAATGGGCAGGTGAGCAATTTTCTGACTGTTCACGACTGTTGATTCATGAGATCTTATTAGATGGGTATTGGACGAATTCAGGAGATTCTCATGTCATCCAACAATCACAATAATGTGTCCCACATCGTGCTGCAGCTTTTTGCATTTGTGGATACACTGCATCCCTCTGTTCATCTCCAATGTCTCAACCTTCATCAGGAAAATGTGGTAAGGCTATATAGCCACCCATAGCGCTATAGACTGCTATACAGACTCCATAGCCCTATAGCTCGTATAGCCAAGTGCCCAATTGTGCAGGCTTACTACACCAGTGTATAGTGCTATATAGCTCTATTAAAGTTGCTATAGCTGGGTGGAACATACCACAACTATTGTAGCTATTATAGCTCAAAACACAAAGCAAAAATTTCTCTTAATAGCTGTTTGTTGCCATGATAGTGTTCTCAAAATTAAAAAAAAGCGAAAATTCCAAATTATATTTCAACTACTACAATACATGTAAACTAATAACTACAAAACAGGCAAAAATGCGAAAATTACAGGAGGAAGAGGCAAGAGAACTAGAAGGAAGAATCAGAGAGGAAAGATGAATACAAAAAAAAGAAAGACTTACCAAATAGTGAAAATTGCGAAAATTCTTGAGGGAAGAGGAGGGAAGGGAGCTAGAAGGAGAGGATCAGACAGGAGGAAGTGAGAGTCAGAGAAAAGACTTGCCAAATGGTCAAAAATGCGAAAATAGTTGGGGGGAGGAGGAGCAGGAGGGAAGAGAGCTAGAAGGAGAGGGTTAGAAAAAAGATTAGTCAAATAGTCAAAAATGCGAAAATTATGGAGGGAGACTTACCAGAGTTCAAAGCACCAGCACCAGTACCAGCACCAACAACATCAACACCAAGAGAAGGATAGAGAAGCAAGAAGAAGAGAAGAGAGGCAAAAACTCGAAAATTGTAAGAAAAATATGGAAGATAATCTAATGAGGGGGCAGTGGGGGGGAAGGAAAGAATGGGAAAAGACTTGTTGGTTGACCGCATTTTTGCTTACATAAGCAGTGCCAAACAAAGCCACAACACAAGACTTGGTGAATTTTCGAGTTTTTGGTTAATAGGACTAGGATTATGACAGTAAGAAAAAGACAATGAAATTGACTGTTAGCATTAGGATTTTGAATACACATAAGGTGAATTTTCGCATTTTTGCTTACATAAATAAGGTGTACCTTAACACTTTTGAACCCTTCAATTCCAAGTATTTTCCTTATAACTCACTAAGATCTTGACCTATTGAAGTCATTAGACTATGGATAGACTTCCCTTGACAAGGACTACAACTTTGATTTAATCGAAAAAAGTTCCCATGGTCAAGTTGCTTTCTTGAACCCTTCAATTTCGAGTATTTTTCCTTATAACTCACTAGGATCTTAACCTATTGAAGTCATAAGACTATGGATAGACTTCCCTAGACAAGGACTACAACTTTGGTTTTCATCGAAAAAAGTTCCCACAGTCTACTGGGGTCTATAGTTGTTGAAATGTTTTACTTCTAAATACACTTACCAAACTTTATGGTAATATATAGACTTTCATGATGTCTATACTGGTCTATAGTGCTGTGATAGCTTGCTATAGACTGTATAGAGCTGTGGTGTGCTATCGGGGCTATATAGAGGATGGTCCTCTATATAGAGATATAGTTTTTCCTGATGTTTTGGATGATGAAGTAGTCATAACAGGCAGCAGTGAGTCATTCTACAGATGTGTGAGCTATTCTGACCCTTGTCGTACAGGATATCAAATGTATGATTAATCTCTAACACAATTGTATTGATTCACAATGTACAGACATCCTCCAACAGACTATGTGTCAAGAATGGATTGAAACTTCTCAGACCAAACCTGTCATTCACCATAAGTCCACTCCGAGCTATTTTGTCAATGCCTACTCCATTCATAATTATGATCATATTCATCTTGTCATTCCCAAAACACTTCATGAAACACCACTGCGAGTTACAAATGTGGCAGAAGTTCAGGCGACAGCTGTACAACACATGAAGGAGAAGAAAGCTTTGAAGAAATCTGGTGATGCGTCACAAGAAGGTGAAAGAATGGGAAATGATATCTAGGGCCCTTTGATACCAACTCCCACTTTCGATAAACCCCCTGCAAAATCAAAGACTGCTGCCAAGTCAAAAGCAAAGGCAAGCACTTGTTCCGGTGCATGAGGAAGGAAGGCTGCATCATCTCATGCTGGTCAAGCCATTGCCAGGTCCTCTGGACTTGAGACAATGCCTACTCAGCAAAATCCAGTGGTTCAATCCACTTCATTCGTTCAGCAAAGTCAGGGCCAATTTGTGCTGCCGACAGGCTTTTATCCTCCTCCAATGCAATCCTCACACCCCTCTCTGCCCCATTCACACCATCCACTGCAACCACACTTTCCTCTGGCACAGCCATACCTTCCTCCCTTTGTGTTAGGTACCATGCCGACTCAGGAAGCAGAGGGGTCAGGGCTTGGCTTCAGCTTTTGCGCTGCGCCCTTAGCTGAGTACGTGCCCCAAATTTGGAGCAGGTCCAACGTTGTCTGATGATAGGACAAGTGGACCGCTAAGGTCCGCTTTGAGGGTTGGAAGGTAAGAGCTACTAGTGGTGGGCTGACTAGGAGCGGAGTGGAGAAGGCAGAGGATAATGCAGAGGGTGGAAAGGAGCAGGGGGAATACTTGATAGGGGTGGAGAAGTAAGGAGAAGACTTAGAGCACAGCTCTAAGTCGGAGTGGAGGGTCGGAGGTGACAACAAGGTGAAACTTGTGTCCGGAGGAGGCAAGGTCCTACTGAGAATTCTCACAAGTAGAAACTGCAAGAAGACAAGTAATATTAAGACTGGGGAAAATATCTAAGTACAGGATATGTTATATACTTCTAAGTATGAGGCAGTGATCAGGATAACTATGTTGTAAAGCTATGTACCAAGGATATAATTTGTAAGTACTTACACAGGCAAAGACATAAGTCAGAGCAGATATCAGTATGTACGTGTCGGATCAGTGATCGAGCAGTAAGAGGAATTACCAGTGATCCGGGAGTAAGGGTCTATGTACTGAAAGGGAAAGTATATATCTAAAAGGGGAAAGAGGTTCCAGTTGAATGGAGACATTATGGAAGGGGACCAGTCGGGCGGTCAAGCAGAAGCATAGGGGCAGATGCAGATGATGATTGGACGGAGTGGAGGATGGATGGAGCGGAGGTGGTCGGAAAGCGGAGCAGATATTAATATCGGAGCGGTCGGATCAGGTATATGACACTTTGGAACATAGCTCTTACTTCCTGAATCACCGGTAATTCCTATAACCACTTGATTACTGATCCATCACATACATATTGATATCCGCTCCAACTTATGTTTTTTCCTCTGTAGTAATACTTACAAATTGAATACTCAGCACATAGCCTTATGCTATGGACTACTGATCACTGCCTCCTTACTCAGAAGTATATAAACATATTGTTAAGGTCGAGCTCAAGGGAAAAGTAACTCAAAGGGCTTGGCTTCAGCTCATGTGCTGCACCCCTTACCTGAGTACATGCCCTTAATTTCTGAGAGGCAGAAGGGAAGTTTGACGGAAGTCCAGGTAGGTCCAGTGTGGGTACAACAAGTGTAGCAGCGAGTAATCAACCTACTACAAAGTTGGGTCTTTGCTGCCTGCTTCCTCACTTGAGAACAAGCACATTCGACCCTAATCAACCCTACCGCAGGTAGGATGAGGATCCACAAAAATGCAGAACAAGCAGAACTCAAGCAGAACAAAGTGGAACAAAGCGGAACTCAAACAGATAAAATGTGGAATGTATGGGTTCATTGGAACTTGCAGATCAAGTTAAAGGAAGTATATCACAAGTTTAGATTGATAGTGAGCATAAGTCAAAGTGGTCCTCTAGTAAGGTGAAGGAAAAGTCGGAGAAAAGTTGGAAGGTAAGAGATGGGAGGAAGTAAGTCCAATAAGTATTTTCCAAAAACTTCTATGCTTATAGGGTACAGTATTTTCAAGGAACACAGAGATATAGGTAGCACATTCCCAGGATGCAGAAATGAAGGCAAACAGTGCACATGGGCAGAATACTGCGCAATAGGGGTCCATGCCATAAGGTGTTATGACCAGCGTTCACTGAATGGCAAAAGCAAGCACACAACCACTAGGACTCAGTCACAGATGATGATAAGAGCAAGATAGGATTGAGCATGAACATCTAAGTCTACTACAAGTGTAAAAACGAAGAGGTTAAGTCTAAGGAGTACTTACACTAACTAGCCTACTTTTATACATAACATTGAGTAGGAGATATCTGAGTATGAATAAAATCAGCCAATGAGAAAAGAGTCATATGATGACTGTGGATGATGCAGCATGACATAATGATATATAAGCAATGAATCATAGATGGTGACTAAATAGAAACCCAAGATCCAATCGGTACTTCTTCTGGAAGTGAGATTGTTCTAGCCCATGGAGTAGGGGTCCCCCAGGCTTCTTATATGCATACTCTGCCAGGGAACCAATACCCTTCCCTTTGAGTCCCCCCTGGTGCTTCCTAGACACATGTACTTACTGATTCACATATTGAGATTGAAATCTTGTTATAGTAAGCTCCATCTGCTATTTTAAGTCTACACATTGAGAGAGATCTCAGTACTATGTTGCCCTGCACCTTCCAAGCCCATGTTCCTGAGAATACCTGTGCCCTAAAAGGGAAAAAACAGAGAGTACTGGTAAAACATATCTTATGATGTTGCAATGATGTTGTACATCTTTGTGGTGGGTGTCATATGTCACATGTGTCACACTGTTATGACCCACGTTCACCAATAATGATGAAGGAGAGAACACAACCACTAGGACTCGATCAGAGAGGATGATAATCAATGGAATGGTATTGAGCGTTGAACGTCTAGGTCTACTACAAGTGTAGAAACGAAGAGGTTAAGTCTAAGGAGCACTTACGCTAACTACCCTACTCTTATACATAACATTAAGTAGGAGTCTGAAAGAAATCAGCCAATGAGAAAAGAGTCGTACGATGCTGCGGATGACTGAGCATGACATCATGATATATAAGCAGATGAGTAAGATGGCAACTAAACAGAAACCCAGGTTCCGACCGGTTCTCCTTTGGGAAGCGAGATTGTTCTAGCCTGTGGAGTAGGTGAGCCAATCGGAGAAGCAACGGGTGACCTATGATGAGGAGTCACGTGACCGGCTCGGGTACTGGAAGTAGCCGAGGGAAAACCGAGAAATGAAAAATGGTTCGTATTAGGAATTCGTGACATTACCCCCTTTCTAGGATGAGCGTCCTCGCGAATGTAAGATGGTCGTATATTTTTTTGTCTCCATTCGAGGAAGTCAGGGTCATCAGAATTGAAGCGGAGATTTGCACCGATTTAACCGCATTTGGGTTTTTGGCATAAAAGTCGGCTACAATGAGTGGCGCGTTCTTCACATCTTCTTCTGACTGCCATGTTGCTTCTTCTACTGCGTATCCTTTCCATTTTACTAAATACTGCAACTTGTGCCTGTATAGGCGGCTTTGCAATATTTGCTCTGCTTCATATTCTGGGACTTGATCAACAATATCCGGCGGCGGACGCGTTAGAGGTGGGTGATCGACGAGTTGAGAGGTTTGATGTGGGGTGAGTAACGACACATGGAAAACTGGATGGATGCGATATTTAACCGGGAGCTTCAACTTGTAGTTTAGCTCGCCAGTCTTCTCTTCAATTTCGAATGGTCCCAGATGGCGGTCAGACAATTTTTGGCTCGGATGGCGTTGTTTGATGTTTGTCGCGTCTAACCATACCTTGTCGCCTGGTTTGAATTCTGGTGCGTCTTTTACTTTATGATCATAAAAGCGCTTCATTCAATCGTTCGCTATTTCCAGCATTGCCTTCAGTCTCTTCTTGTGCCTCCTTCATCTCAGCTACTCTCTGGTCGGCATGGGGAATCATATGGGAAGAATTGGGGGAAATCGTAACTTGGGATTATAGCTGTAGACACATTTGAATGGGGAATGTCCAGTGACGGTTACCGAGTTGTTATGCGTGAATTCAGCAATTGGAAGCCAAGAAACCCAATCAGTCTGACGGTAGGATGTGAAGAGTCGGAGGTACTGTTCGACTTCTTGATTGACTCGTTCTGTCTGTCCGTCAGTCTGTGGGTGATATGCTGTTGACATGGACCACTTGGTTCCTAGTTGTTTTGAGACTTCCTGCATGAATTTGGACACAAACTGTGTTCCCCTATCCGAGATCACCTTCTTCGGTGTCCCATGTAACTTCCATACGTAATTGAGAAATAAGTCTGCGACTCCCTTGGAATCAACATCCTTGGTGGTCGGAGCAAGATGCGCTTGCTTCGTGAAATGATCAACGACTACCAAGATACTGTCCTTGCCCTGGGAGATGGGTAGATCGGTGATGAGGTCACAGCTAATGGTTTGCCATGGCCCTTCTGGAACCTTGTTCGGCTTCAAAGGTCCGTGGGGTTTTGATGGTAGCACCTTCGTCTGCTTGCATCGATCACACCCATCTACATAGTCATTGACCCATTTCTGCATCTGGGGCCACCAATAGTTCCACGAGACAAGTTCAAGAGTCTTGGCATGTCCCATGTGTCCTGCTGCAGGCGAGTCATGGAAGATCTCTAGCACTGAGCGACGAATTTCCTTATTCTTGGGAACGTAAACCAATCCTCAGAACAAAATGAGTCCATCCTCCGTGTTCCACTCTTCCAATCCTCTTCTCAACTGCACAGGGGCCTTCTTCAGAGTTTTGATAGCATTTCGGACTTCCGGATCTAAATCAGTGCAGTTTCTGATATGCTTCAACAGCGAATGCTCTCCTTCTATCAGAATCTGACCTCTTTTTGTGGCTTTGATATGAAAAAACTTGGGTTTCAAAAGCACGCGATCGGAATTGTTCGTTTTCTACCCCCCCTCTGTGGTCTGGCCTCCTGGACAGAGCGTCGGCAGTGTCATTAAC